TCCACGTGATAATAACACTTAGAAATGTGACATTCCATGTGATAATAACACTGAGAAATGTGACTTTCCATGTGATAACAACACTTAGAAATGTGACTTTCCATTCGATAACAACACTTAGAAATGTGACTTCCCATGTCATAATAACACTTACAAATGTGACATTCCATGTGATAATAACACTTAGAAATGTGACTTTCCATGTGATAAGAACACTTAGAAAGTCACTTTCCATGTGATAACAACGCTGAGAAATGTGACTTTCCATGTGATTACAACACTTAGAAATGTGACTTTCCATGTGATAACAACACTTAGAAATGTGACTTTCCACGTGATAACAACACTTAGAAATGTGACTTTCCATGTGATAACAACAATTAGAAATGTGACTTTCCATGTGATAACATTTAGAAATGTGACTTTCCATGTGATAACAACACTTAGAAATGTGACTTTCCATGTGATAACATTTAGAAATGTGACTTTCCATGTGATAACAACACTTAGAAATGTGACTTTCCATGCGATAAAAACACTTAGAAATGTGACTTTCCATGTGATAACAACACTTAGAAATGTGACTTTCCATGTGATAACAACACTTCTAAATGTGACTTTCCATATGATAATAACACTTAGAAATGTGACCTTCCATGTGATAACAACACTTAGAAATGTGACTTTCCATGTGATAACGACACTTAGACAAGTGACTTTCTATGTGATAACAACACTTAGAAATGTGACTTTCCATGTGATAACAACACTTACAAATGTGCCATTCCATGTGATAATAACACTTAGAAATGTGACTTTCCATGTGATAACAACACTTAGAAAGTGACTTTCCATGTGATAACAACGCTAAGAAATGTGACTTTCCATGTGATAACACCACTTAGAAATGTGACTTTCCATGTGATAACAACACTTAGAAATGTGACTTTCCATGTGATAACAACACTTAGAAATGTGACTTTCCATGTGATAACACTTCGAAAGTGACTTTCCATGTGATAACAACACTTAGAAATGTGACTTTCCATGTGATAACAACACTTAGAAATGTGACTTTCCACGTGATAACAACACTTAGAAATGTGACATTCCATGTGATAATAACACTTACAAATGTGACTTTCCATGTGATAACAACATTTAGAAATGTGACTTTCCATGTGATAACAACACTTAGAAATGTGACTTTCCATGTGATAACAACACTTAGAAATGTGACTTTCCATGTGCTAACAACATTTAGAAATGTGACTTTCCATGCGATAACAACACTTCTAATTGTGACTTTCCATGTGATAATAACACTTAGAAATGTGACCTTCCATGTGATAACAACACTGAGAAATGTGACATTCCATGTGATAACAACACTTAGAAATGTGACTTTCCATGTGATAACAACATTAAGACATGTGATTTTCCATGTGATAACAACACTTAGAAATGTGACTTTCCATGTGATAACAACACTTCTAAATGTGACTTTCCATGTGATAACAACACTTAGAAAGTGACTTTCCACGTGATAACAACGCTTAGAAATGTGACTTTCCATGTGATAACAACATTTAGAAATGTGACTTTCAATATGATAACAACACTTCTAAATGTGACTTTCCATGTGAAAACAACACTTATAAATGTGACTTTCCATGTGATAACAACACTTAAAAATGTGACTTTCCATGTGATAACAACACTTCTATATGTGACTTTCCATGTGATAATAACACTTAGAAATGTGACATTCCATGTGATAACAACACTTAGAAATGTGACTTTCCATGTGATAACGACACTTAGACATGTGACTTTCCATGTGATAATAACACTTAGAAATGTGACATTCCATGTGATAATAACACTGAGAAATGTGACTTTCCATGTGATAACAACACTTAGAAATGTGACTTTCCATGCGATAACAACACTTAGAAATGTGACTTTCCATGTGATAATAACACTTACAAATGTGACATTCCATGTGATAATAACACTTAGAAATGTGACATTCCATGTGATAAGAACACTTAGAAAGTCACTTTCCATGTGATAGCAACGCTGAGAAATGTGACTTTCCATGTGATAACAACACTTAGAAATGTGACTTTCCATGTAATAACAACACTTAGAAATGTGACTTTCCATGTGATAACAACACTTCGAAAGTGACTTTCCATGTGATAACAACACTTAGAAATGTGACTTTCCATGTGATAACAACACTTAGAAATGTGACTTTCCATGTGATAACAACACTTAGAAATGTGACTTTCCATGTGATAACATTTAGAAATGTGACTTTCCATGCGATAAAACACTTAGAAATGTGACTTTCCACGTGATAACAACACTTAGAAATGTGACTTTCCATGTGATAACAACACTTAGAAATGTGACTTTCCATGTGATAACATTTAGAAATGTGACCTTCCATGTGATAACAACACTTAGAAATGTGACTTTCCATGTGATAACGACACTTAGACATGTGACTTTCCATGTGATAACAACACTTAGAAATGTGACTTTCCATGTGATAACGACACTTAGACATGTGACTTTCCATGTGATAACAACACTTAGAAATGTGACTTTCCATGTGATAACAACACTTAGAAATGTGACTTTCCATGTGATAACAACACTTAGAAATGTGACTTTCCATGTGATAACATTTAGAAATGTGAATTTCCATGCGATAAAAACACTTAGAAATGTGACTTTCCATGTGATAACAACACTTAGAAATGTGACTTTCCATGTGATAACATTTAGAAATGTGACCTTCCATGTGATAACAACACTTAGAAATGTGACTTTCCATGTGATAACGACACTTAGACATGTGACTTTCCATGTGATAACAACACTTAGAAATGTGACTTTCCATGTGATAACAACACTTAGAAATGTGACTTTCCATGTGATAATAACACTTAGAAATGTGACTTTCCATGTGATAACAACACTTCGAAAGTGACTTTCCACGTGATAACAACACTTAGAAATGTGACTTTCCATGTGATAATAACACTTACAAATGTGACATTCCATGTGATAACAACACTTATAAATGTGACTTTCCATGTGATAACAACACTTAGAAATCTGACTTTCCATATGATAACAACACTTCTAAATGTGACTTTCCATGTGATAATAACACTTAGAAATGTGACCTTCCATGTGATAACAACACTTAGAAATGTGACTTTCCATGTGATAACAACACTTAGAAATGTGACTTTCCATGTGATAACAACACTTCTAAATGTGACTTTCCATGTGATAATAACACTTAGACATGTGACTTTCCATGTGATAACAACACTTAGAAATGTGACTTTCCATGTGATAACAACACTTAGAAATGTGACTTTCCATGTGATAACAACACTTCTAAATGTGACTTTCCATGTGATAATAACACTTAGAAATGTGACCTTCCATGTGATAACAACACTTAGAAATGTGACTTTCCATGTCATAACAACACTTAGAAATGTGACTTTCCATGTGATAACAACACTTCTAAATGTGACTTTCCATGTGATAATAACACTTAGACATGTGACTTTCCATGTGATAACAACACTTAGAAATGTGACTTTCCATGTGATAACAACACTTCGAAAGTGACTTTCCATGTGATAACAACACTTAGAAATGTGACTTTCCATGTGATAACAACACTTAGAAATGTGACTTTCCATGTGATAACAACACTTAGAAATGTGACTTTCCACGTGATAACAATACTTAGAAATGTGACTTTCCATGTGATAACAACACTTAGAAATGTGACTTTCCATGTGATAACAACACTTAGAAATGTGACTTTCCATGCGATAACAACATTTAGAAATGTGACTTTCCATGCGATAACAACACTTCTAAATGTGACTTTTCACGTGATAACATTTAGAAATGTGACTTTCCATGTGATAACAAAATCGTTCATTACATTATTGTATTAGCCCTCCTGTCACTCCACTTATACTACTTGAAGTGATCCTTTATATGCTGCGATATACTTGGTGGCCCTAACGTTGTTTCGTTCGTCCGTTCCTCAATCCGCTTGTCCTGGTGTGGGTAGCGGTGGCAGCATGTTGAGTAGGGTGGTCCAGACCTCTCTTTCCTTAAAGTTCGGTTAATGAGATATGCAGACGCATTATTATTTTTTATTGATAAACCTTAGGGCTACTCTGCAATTCAAATGCCATTCCCTGTACAGTGACATTTCAGATAAATTGAAATGCATGTGATTTCACATTTAGGAAAATGAGACGCATGATATCTGCTAAAGAGTGGCCAGTTAAGTGTTGCTTTTGTCAACATTATCTAACAATATAATGGTGGCAAAATCACCATTGGTCATGGAAGGTCATACCCAAAATTGAGCATGTTTCTGAGGTCCAGGCTTTACATGGCATCCTGGATGAACAGAAATGTGTCCATCTTAAGGGGGTTTAGAGCATAGATGGGGGCCTTGATTCTGTCCCTGTGTCTCTCTCGGTTTAACTTTGTTTCACCCCCCAACCCTTGAGACAGGGGGATGGAAATCACGTACTCGGCTCACTCACTGAATATCCTTTCTGTTGAAAGACGTGTGAAGAGATGCACGCTTGGAGGTAGAGAGAGAAAGAGGACCAAATTGATCAGAGAACAAGAGAGAAACATCACATTGACTGTTAAGGAAAAAGTACGCGGGCGAAGGCAGGACAAGGATGATGGCCGGTGGTCGAGGCCAACAGTGGAGTGGACAGCCAACGGAGGGAAAAGCACCCAAGAAGAGATCCTCCAAGAAAACTCAGCGATGACATCATCTCGCGTGCAGATTGAAGATGGATTGTCGCATCCTATGATCCCCACGAGGGGACGCTTTCATCCAGCAGTGGATAAATCGCGGCTGATGATGACGATGGCCCCCCTCTTGTATACTCGACATTGCCCCCCCCCACCCCCCTAATGGCTGTTAGTATTTCCCACCGGTTGCCAAAACAATGGAGCCTCAGGTGTTGGTGTCGGAGGCGCCCTGACGTCGGGCTGCGTTCTCGGCCATCTCCAGCCGACCGAACATCTCCTCCACGAGTTCGTGCAGACGGGCCCGGGACTCTGCCTCCCGAGCGCCCATCGCCTGCAGCTCGGCGTGCAGCCGACGCTCGTCCCTGCACGCAACGCCGCACAAACGTACAAAAACCGGAGGAAGGGCCTTTGCTATTGATGCCCCCAGGGTCTGGAATGCTATTGCCAATAAACTGCAACTTGAATCGCTACCTATGAGATCTTCACTCAAAACTGCTCTAGAGGAGTTGTACAACCCTAGCTGCCACTGCTATTCAGTGGCCTAAAATATGGCTCTAGAGTTTGGTGTTATAATTTATTTATGTAGTTTATTGTTAAAAATTCGGTCACAGTCCCTTGATCACTGTTACATTGCATTTATGGCTTTTATTTTGATGATTTCGAAAAGTTTTTCTTTGTTTTGGCCATGTTTTTGTTTATTGTAGTACGGAGTTAGACTGATGGCCTTAATCTTAGTTGTCTTGTGGTTGTTGTTGTTGCTATTTGACTTGCATCCCACTGGGATTTTTGCACACAGCGTTGGTGTACGGTGCTATTTCAGGAATATTTTGATGTTGTTTTTCCTGGATTTTCTGTTTGCACAGTCAAATAATCACTTTAAGATGTTTTCTTGTTCATGTTTTTTTGTTTGTTGCGGTTGCACACGATTCAAGAGCCGAATGGCTCACAGGGCTATACCAAATAAATGAAACGATGGAAATGAAATGAACTATGGAACAAACACCAGCGTGGTGGTGCGACAGCAGCGAACGGGCACGCGGGGAGGGTGGCCGAGAGGGGGGGGGGCGGTCCCCGGCTTGTGGGAAACCGGCTGAACGTGTCTTCGGACACCGAGAAGACGTTTGGATCGACACCGAGATGACGTTCCGCGTTGATGATTAGTCACTTTGGTGAGCTATCATTTGTGGGCAGGTTGCTTCTTAACAAACAAACAAAACATACTTCAGCGGGCTTTGCGTGGTAGACGGGGGGGGGGGGATGGTTTCGTTAAATTTGTATGATTTTTGCTGATTTGTTTGCCTTTCCTGTACTCTGCACGAAAAATTGTGTTTTTGTGTTGTTGTTGTTGTTGTAACGTTCTTACCCACCTCTACTGGACATTTGTTTAAAAAGAGCTTCATAGCTCATCGGATTCCTCCAGTATAAATACAGATTCTGATTCTGAAATAAAAAGCCAAGCGGCTGCATGGTTCACGTGTTGGTGGATTTTCCATTTCGCGTGATTATTCTGTAAAATCTACGCCGTTTGTTCCGGTGCCTACAGCTGTGTGAACCAGCAGCGAGGTGTTGTGTGCTTACTCGTTTTGTCAAGATGTCAATCTGATTCACAATGTCCCCGTGTATTTTTAGATATGTGGCTCTGATCATTTATTATGTTGCGTTGCGTGACTCAAATTTGATAAGTAGTATTACCAGGTCGCCCTAGCAAACAAGGCATTTTTCAAAGTAACTCTATATTTCATGCCCTCGTTAAATTAAGAAAATAATGATACTGAGTAGGGTGTTTCTCCCACTCATCTTAAGGTTTTAGATAACTTGTTTTAATTGTATCTTTTTATTATAAACAATTATGAACGCGTTGTTTTAGATTGTCGATTAATTGTACAGTAGAACGCATTTTATCCATGGCACTATTATCTGCAACTCCTATTAATGGCAGGAGTTTTCGGGTCCACTAGAACTCCTATTATCCTCTCGCTTATTTTTCATGTTATCTGCCAGAGTTTCTTCCTGCGGATAAGTCGAATAAATTCGTGGATAACCCCACTGATAATTTGTCTGTGATATTGGTCCCGCACATGATCGCGGCAGAGAAGATGATTTATCCTGTTACTCGATTGCGAGTTTATATTTATGGTCGGCAGTTGACTTAAGCTATCCCTTCTCCACAGTTGGGAATAATCCCCAGTGGTTGGGCCCTTTGTAGGCTCTGGCTCCTGCTATGGAAATGTACAATTTTAAGCAACGGCTCAAGGCCCTACATACCCGTCAACCCATATTCTTGTATAACCATTTCAATACGGGCAAAAAAAGGATATTTGTTAGTGTTTTCATCTTGTGATGGGACTTTGTAGGATGAACGTTAAGATTTATAAGGGCACGGGATGACCAATAAGATCTGAATTAGTCTGTTATAAGGTAGGCACTGATAAGGGGTTGACAGATATGGCCCTAGTCCTCGTGTGAGTACAGAGAAACGTTTTACTTGACTTTGAATTGACCTGTGATTAAACTTAATTTTCAAGTGAAATTAATTTAACACCAATGACTGCAAAAAAAGATTCCGTCATTTTATATATATACTTTTCACTTAATCCAGCATATTGCAGATCATAGGGAAGGGTGTCTCTCAATCATATAAGAACATGATAGTGCAATCAGAATACAATTTTGATGAAAATCCAAAACAAAAGAGTGCGTAGATAAAAGTAATGTTAAGTACTCGACGCATTCGTACCTCCGATTAGCAGGGTTGGCTACGTATAGTGCGAAAGAAGTTCAACATGCATACATATATGTGGACAGTCCAAAATTAGTGGTGCAAATTCCACATTATTATACCAGGGACCAGACTTAATAAGAAAATCACTGTTGGCTTCTCATCAAGTGGTGCAGCCTCACTTGGTGGTGCTAAATGTATTTTCACTGAAGTGATGAGGATGATGCTAACCATGGCCCCATCTCTGCGTGATCCACCGACCAATCCCCTTAGCTGCAAGATTACGAGCATGTGCCACCGCCTCGACCGCCGGGTTTTATTTTAGAACGTTCAAGGTTAGACAGCCTTCAGCAATTCAATTTTGGACTTGATAGTAATTGTGCCGATTTTTTTTTATTATTATTAAATAATTGTTTTATTTCTACAAAGTTAAAGGTGACACAATGTCACGACACGGTGCCAATGAGATGTGATCGACCACATTTTTAACCGGAGGCACTCATCTGTGTCATTATCACCTATAATTGTATTCTGCACAATACAAAATGTATGTTGAAAATGAAACGTGAATGAAGTTCCTTTTTTTTTTCTAACAAACTTGCGCCAATACCATATGGATATGTAGAGCAGTGAGTAAAAATATAACCGAATTAACACTGAGCAAGTACACCTTGGCCAATGCCTCTTGCCTGGCATAATTGTCGAGATCATCACTTTTTTTTTCCTATTCGCTTTTGTGTCACTGACTCTGCGACACTGCTTAAAGTCACAGATATTATATAGGCAGACGAAACAGGCGTTCTGTGCACGGGTTTTACCATCGGCATCCTTTAATAATTAAAGGATCCAAGCAATTATATTGCTTTAGAACTCATGCGGAAAAGATAAAAAAAATCACTTCAATTCTATCCTCTACTTAAATTAAAAAAAAAAAAATTACCACTTGTCCGGTATGGTTATGGAACTGAGGGAAATATATCTCTCCGTTTCATGTTTTTTTAAATGATGGTGCAATTCACGCATGAATGAAGAACTGTAAAATATTTTATGAGCTTATTGAACATTTAAATTTGCTGCCAAACGCACCATATTGTTTTCATGAGTTTATAAGCATTCCGTTCAAGTGTCCAATGTATTAATTTATTGTGTTGCAATGTGGAATTTTTGGCAAAAACTGAACGCTCAGCCCAAGGGAATGGCTTTTAGTTCTGCAACTGCGCAGTGAGCGACGCACTTCCTTAACTCTGTTAGTGCAGCTAATTTTCTAATTTCAAAAGTTAAAGGTCGTACTTTTGATTTCGAATTATTGCAAGTTGTGCCACGCAGTCTTTGATATCCATGCGATGGAAGAGTACCTTGGTGGTGAGATGTTTACCACCTCGCCTGGTGTGCAGAAGGTCGTGGGTTCTATTCCGACCCCGACGCATGTATATTTGGAGTTTGCGTGTCTCTCTCTCTCCCGGTGGTCGTGTGGATTATTCTCTGGGCCCCTCTGGTTTTTCTCTCCACATTTACAAACATACTATATAGTCCTTTTTTCTTCTGAAAAAAGGGCTATATAGCTCAGTGGGCCTTACCCGGTAAAATCAAATTTGTTTAGTTCAGTATTCGTTTAAAGAGGGCATGCTTTAATATACATTTCCCACTAAAGTACCACACCAAAGATTGGATTCACAACGTTGAACTCTTTTAAACTATCGCATATGTGGCTCGTACCTTAAACACTTCTATAGCTTGCTTGATATTTCTTTATAATGTCGTCGACAATATGTGAGGGTTGCCACTTTTGAGGTACAAAAAAACCGGGTCACTTACTCTTGTCGTCCTTCTAACTCCTCTTCTTTCTTGTGCAGCTCTTGCTTGCAAAGGGCCAGCATTTCCACACTGATGCCGAGCTGCCGAGAGAGATCCTGAGCCTGGCTTTGCCATCCTTCCCACTCTCTCCCTGGCAAGAAGCCGCGGTCATTGTTCGGCTCCACTCCAGCCTGCAGCCTCTCTTCATTGCTGAGCCCTGTCTGGAAATTCACCACTCGGCGTTCGCTGCGCTCCGTTCCAGACTGATGCCGCGATCCACTGCTGGTCTCTGCCGTCTGATAGTTGAGACTGTGGCCATGGCTGGCTCTTGTTCTTGTCTGGAGCTTGCTCTTGCCTTGAGTAGGCCACCCGTGGAAACGGATGTCGTTACAACAGCCACCTGGCCACAGCCCGTTGTGGTGGTTGACACGGTCACCAGGAGGAGTCGCCGCATCCTGGAAGCCGTTGTGGTCATCGCATCCTCTGGACTTCTCTTCGTGCTTCGTGGACTCTGCAAATCCACATGGCCTGCAGTACTTCTCCGTGCTGCCCTGATTATCAACTGCCTTTGAACGGCAATAGAAACTGTGTCAGAATGCTGACGTCGCTGACGATAGTCAAGTCATTATTGTGCGAGTCAGGATGCGCGTTTTCACACATTGGAAGGCAGAAAGTGCCGATTGGTGCTAAGAACTAGAAAGTTAATTTCTTAGTACTGAATTTACATCAAAACTCTTTTCTTCTAGATGTTCCTATCACTCTCGCCACAACATAATTAATTATACAACAAATAACTGGCCAGATCCCACAAAAGAAAATCTATATAAATTAACATAACACAAGATCACTGTTATAATTCAGTAGGTTCACATGACATTGACTTCTCCAAGACAGAGGTTATTTGCAAGCCATCTGGCTAACATGAGAGATTCGTTCATGAGGCTATCCACATATACAAACACAGAGTCAATTTCAACCGAGAAGATGGATTCTGGCTTAGCAATCATTGGAAGGATTTGATAAACCATTTCGGGTCTTAATTGATTGATCACGCTTACGGTGGCTTTCAGACCGCATCCATTATTTTCGTCTCCCCCCTCCTCTTTTCCGAACATAGATGGACTCGTCCATCTGAACAAACTGTCAAATCGCTCTCCGTGGTGCTAACGTTAAAAATAACCCGCCACTTTTTTCAAAATTTTCTTGCTGTGGTTTTCACACCTGATGGTGATTGCTTGTGTTGCAGTCGAAACGTCGTGATAATTTTATTGTTTTATATTTTTATTATTTTATTGTTTCCCTTCTACGTGGTGACTTTACCGAAAGAACCAAGAATATAACCGTGGAAGAGTAGGCCAAAATTCCCTCAAAAGGGGCTTTCTGTAGCTACGTCTAGTAGAGATCCTTGCGCCAGCAGTGGCGAAAGAAGCAGTTGCAGAGCCGCGACTCGCATTATCGTGATTAAAATGCAGCAATATGCCAGGGTATATTTGACCACCATCGACATGTGAATTACTCTCAGCGTGCAATGTCTGCAATTTTACTTTGGTCAATTCATTAATTTAGCAACTTATACTATAAATGTCCACGGGTAATTTGAATATTGAACTTCTTTCGCACCATACGTAGCCAACCGTGCTAATCAGAGGTGCAAATTATGACTACATTTATTAAATGAATCACCTTCCGTTCTATGCTGCCGCGTAAATAAAGCACAGCACTACACCAGTACGTCTGCACTGATTGCCAATGTGATAGAGAGGGGCACTTACCAAGACAATAGTGTCGGTGAAACTTAGGGGCCGTCCATAAATGACGTCACGCGATTTTGGACGATTTTTAACCCCCTCCCCCCCTCGTCACACGGCGTCACAAAAAGTCAGACCCCCCCTCAAATATGACGTCACAAAGCTCTGCCCCCCCCCCCAAAACCATATTTCCATTTTTAAAATAAAACATGCTTCAAATCGCTTTAAACTATTGTCTTTGTAGTGCATATTTAATGTGGCGCTGCACTCTGATGTTGTAGGAGAAAACACGTATTAAAAAGGAGGCGTTGAAAAGCTTAAATTTAGCATAAAATTCACTTGAAAATATTCAACGTCTAACTAAAACTGCAGATGTTCAGAATATTATATTGAAATTATCTTATAATTATAAAATAGTAAAAGTTATTATAACTATAAAAAAATACTTGAATCTTTGTAGTAGAACGAAGCAAAATGGAGAGTACAATTATAACAATCACATATTCATTCCCCAGAATGAAAAGCCCTGGTAGAATCATTAGAATCAAAATGTTTAATAACAATCATTAAAAAAATGTTCTAAATTTATGCTTCTCCATTCTCCCATGGAGAAGTAAAATGCTCCTTCATGGAATAAATAAAAGGTGACCTTAGTAAATTTAAATAATCAATAGTTAATAATGAAAATTTATCAAAATTAGTGTTGTTATAACAATTCTACTTATTTAACGTTGCGCATTTTGATGTGACGTCACATTTCTCAAACCCCCCCCCCTCGTCACACATCGTCACAAATGTCTGACCCTCCCCCATCCTAGGTGCGTGACGTCATTTATGTGTTTAGCTTGCCTGTTTGGCATCCAGATAGACCCTAGAATGTCAAAACCATTTCCGTTTTTATGTTAAAATAAATGCTTCTGGTTTCAATATATTGAAGGCCAGACATTTCATGTGCGATTGCAAGGGCAGCAAAAACGTATTTTACATTAACCATGCTGTTAACCATACATTAATAACCCCTTATTCTGCTCCAGGGTGACAATGAAATGGAGATGGATTATATCCCGTCTGTGATAGCAATCTGTACCAATAATGGACCAAACATTAACACAGTTGTTAGCATATTCTGCCATATTTGTTATGGGTGCCAATGAAGATATTAGTAGGACTCTACAATTACACCGTGTGACTGACAATAGCAAAATACCGTCTCTGCAGAATAAACTAACAAGAATTACGCAATATATAAAGCGTGTTCCGTGTGTAGCGGAATTCTTCTCACACACACGCCGAGACAAAGGTTCAAGTTAATTAATTCCACCTCTGCCACACACAGCTCCCTCCTTCAGCCACGGCTCTCTCCTCTTCATCCACAGCTCTGTCTCCTCTCCTCCCTCCTCCGACGTGCCCTCTTTTCCCCACGGTCCCCTCTCTCATTCCCTCCCCTCTTCCCTGTCACCTCATTCCCAGCCACCAATCACACATCGTCACACCACGGACCATGTCTCCTCATCTCCCGCAACCACATATCGTCACACCGCGGGGTTGCTCCCGGTCCAGTAGGTGCAGGGAATGACGTCAGCGTCTAAGGGGTAGGGAATGATGATGTTGTGGGGACCGTTATGAAGGACGTTACAGGTACATGAACTTTCCTCACCTGATGCATGCAGGCCATCTTTCTGTCGAGATCCTCGGCGTGTTCATGCCACATTGTTACTTCCAGCTTGAGCTGCCGTATCAGAGCTTGAGCTGAATCCAGCTCCTGGCTCTTCTGCTGAAGTTGCTGCCTAAGTCTGCTGACCAGGCCCGCTGCCTTTTGTAGTATAAATAAACCAGCACGCACATCATATTGTGGATCTGATTATTCAAATTCACCAATAGACTTTGCTCATAAGCGATACAGCATTTTTTTTAGCAGAGAGAAAAGAATGACAAACGAGGAGGAGGTTGTCATTTTTACTCACGAGTCTCTCGGTATCTCGGGACAGTTTTTCCAAACGCTTCTCGATAAAGTATCGCTCAGCCCTGTGCACCTCGGTGATGGCCTCCGCTTCTGACTGGGACCACATTCTCAAACACAGGACACATTATTACACCGCAGGGAGAGGCAAAACGGAGAGTTTGTGAACCATTTTAGCGATCCTCAACCCCCCTAATAGGAATTATGCTTTCCTTTGTGATGGATACGATTTCATTTTCATTCCTTTGTCAAACCACTGATAAAGGCCTTTCCATGGATGGTTGTATGATTATACCTTACCGCAATAGTCAATCTCGGTTGGTTATCAGGAAGGGCCCACGACTTCTGCAGATATCACTCGTCACTGAGCTGTGGCCAGGAATCGTGCTTCGGTCTCTGGGTTCATGTGCCACAGTGCGGAATGAGTCCAACATCACCAGCGCCATCATATTCATCAACATCCATTTTCCATTCGATGCTCGGAGGCACTGCCTCGCCAGTGACACCGGGGACACTGTCCAGCAACAGCACAGAGCTATGGAATAATCTTAAATCCATTGTTATTGTCATTCCACGGTGAGAGGCAATTGCCACATAATTATTGCGACATAATTGTGTGGCAATGGCCTCTTAATGAAAATGAATCTTTTTCACGAAATAGCTCTGGATACAGGAATTGCTGTCGGAATATGTTGTGTCACAGGTAAACAGATAATAGCACTTATTTCCTTTATCCACTTCTGGGTGACTCCCCGAATCATAAAGCTGCCAAACGTTCTGGTTTGGCCAGGAAAGTACAGTACCAAGTTCAGCCAGGTTGCTCCGTAGGAGGTTTTTTGGGTTAAATCCGCGTATTTACGGATTATGGATAATATTGGTCGCGAAAGTGCGCGTATTTACGCGGATTTAACCCAAAAATCTCTATTATGGATAATATTGGTCGCGAAAGTCTACGTGTTAAACTAAGCATTCGTGAGAGTGTGGATTGTGTCCCGGTTTTAAAATGTTGGCCTCACCCTTGGCTCATTATGTGGGGGGGGGGGGGGGGGGGGGGGAGGACACGGGACACCGACTGAGTGAGCGTGGTTGACCGAGCAATCGGTGGGGCCAACACAAGAAAGAGCAGCCACTCATTGTGTGGGCAGGCATCATGATATCTGTGAAATAACCATGAACAGGATGCATCTATCCAGCAAATAAATGATTTTCAACGGATACATGCCAGCGATAAATAACAGGAGTCAAAGATTACTGTAATACAGGGTGTTTTGAAAAAGATGGACCCGATTTGAAATCGCTATATCTCTGCAACCACGAACCGCCCATGAATGAAACTCTTACCACTTGAAAGGGCGGGGCATAGAGAGGGAGGGGCATAGAGAGGGCGGGGCAGAGAGAGAGGGCGGGGGCATAGAGAGGGCGGGGCACAGAGTTTCAAATGATCACCGTGAGATGCTTCTCTCCCAGCGCACAAACAGCCCCTAGCCACAGTCATTCACAAGACAACACCGCCTCAACTTTGGATAGATCGCAGGGGACCCCAAGACTTGGCGCTACACTCTTGGCCCCCAAGACCCCCAGACATCACCACACCCTGCGACTTTTTATTGTGGGGATACGTCAAAGACCGTGGTGTTTTTGTGCCACCATTAGCGACTAATCTGGATGACCTTAAAAACAGAATCACAGCAGCGGTGACTTCAGTGGAAGAAGACACTTGGAGAGGCGTTTGGGACGAATTAAACTATCGTCTCGATTTACCCTTTTAACTGTGCCAGTTAAAAGGGTAAAACCTATTACTATATCGTCTCGATGTTTTCCGTACAGCAGGTGGAGGGCACATAGAGCATTTCTAAAATGGTTAGTAAAATTTGATAACTCATTAAACCGTTTGTAACTTTTTGTGTAATTGTAACGTGTTTGCCATCGTGAAATATACTGCTTTGAAATTGGGTCCATCTATCTCAAACACCCTGTATTTCTAAGTTTATTACTTAAACAAGACGAATTACAGTCCTGTATAGTACTGAATATGATATTTAATATCAACGCAGCATACCACAGTGCATGGAGATGCAGTCGAAATGTAATTGCCCAATCCTTATCCCAACTACTACATAGGTTTATATCTGGTGCACACGTTTTTGTTTCGTTATACGGTAACATACCGTATTAGTCGTGGCCAACACACGCCGACTGACCAGTTTGGTTAAAGCATGCGGCAAAAGTGGTTTGACAATTGCCTCCCTGTTTACAGGACTATACTGCACGAGTCTTAATATATCTTATTTGAACAATTAAAACACTCTACGCTCGTACCCTACAAAACTGTGCAGCGTTTCGAGGAGAGAGTCAAATACAGCACTGCAACGCGTAACTGGAAAATCATTCATCAGTAGTGAGTGAAAATAACGGTGTACTTGTTGGGCATGTGCAGTAAACTGGAATTACGGTACTCACATATTAAGATGAAGCCGACGGTTGTCAAGGTTAAAGGAAACGGTCCGTTTTGCATGCACACCCCACCAGTATTGTCGTCTGTGTTGTGTCCAAAAAAAACTCACTCGGGGCAGCGCAGTTTATTATTGTATTCTCATGTAGATGGCTGTGAAGGTTGTGGTCATGCACGGTGAATGTTAATCCATAGCCGCTTAACTGCCAAGCCAAGTGATTTACTTTTTAAGGATGTCGAGCCAGCAGTGTTACTAATCGCATGCAGTATTTTTTTTACAATAATCTGTCATTTTGTTTATATAAATGGCAGCATGCATCAGCTCCCCTTTTAAAATATTTACAATGGTTCATTTAGTTGTTGAATTTGGAAAGAGTATTTTTAGCTGGCGCTATAGCTATCCATATGCACGCCTCTTTAACAAACATGTTCTTAAAATGTAACGTTTTAAATGTTGGTTTTCCATCCAGAAGTAATATTATGGCAATATTAGTTTTCAACCCCAGGTAAAAGTCACAATTTTGTGAGCCTTTCCATGCTCTAAATGTAAACGATAAAAATCGTGCACATTCAGAGATTATGTAACTCATTCCAACATGCGTTTGTCCTCGGAAGTACCGTGTCTATGAACCTGCACTACCTACCGTGGCTAATTAATCGGAAACATGGACATTTGAGAAGAAAATAGAACGAAAACTTGGTACACTAAAAAAGGTGTAAAAAGTCTTCAGACTTTTGATTCACTGTACTGAGGTCCCAGAACATTAATTTAAGACCGGACCCCTTTTACAGGTGACACTTTATAACCCAGCTATCGTCTTGTTATCCAATTGGTCGAGGAATCAAGCAGATAACACTATGTAACATAATTTTTGTTCCAGGGTAGTAAGTATTATTTCGTAATTGCTTATGCCTAAAAAGTATAGAAAAGGGCTATTATTCCCCACAAATTTTGCTTTTGTGACGAGGACAATGATATTTTCAAATGTATCTATTTTCAATGAAAAAACGGGCGAATTTGTGTATTTTCGTTCACATAAAGTCAGAAAAACGACATATGAATAAAAATGTACATGTATTTATACTAAAGTAATACAAAAATGACTACAAAATATTTAGAAGTGAGTAGTTTTTTTAGATTTACGATTATACTGTAAATCACTTTCACGAATCAGCCCTAAAATGTAGTCTCCCATCATGTTGTCGTTATACTGTCCTTGGTAGCGGCGTTCAAAGTCCAGTATATCCTGGTGGAAGCGCTCGCCTTGCTCCTCCGAGTACGCTCCCATGTTCTCCTTGAATTTATCACGATGAGCATCAAGGATATGGACTTTGAGGGACATCCTACAGCCCATTGTGCCGTAGTTCTTCACCAGAGTCTCAACCAGCTCCACATATTCTTCTTTGGTTCTTTCAGTAAAGTCACGTATAATGAGAATAAAATAATAAATTGATAAAATAAAATAACACGATAATATTCTCACGACGTTTCGGCCACAACACAAGCGGCCTTCATCAGGTGAAGGGACGAGACCTTGTGATTGCCCAGGAAGCCACGAACCACTGCATGTATCCTTACTAGTGAGCTTCTTGGGGAATTCATTGCACTCCAGGATCTTCTTTATCTGTGGTCTGACAAAGACACCGGCTTTGACCTTTGCCTCAGACAGCTTAGGGAAGAAGTCTTGAAGGTACTTGAAGGCTGCCGACTCTTTATCTACAGCTCTGACAAATTTACTACCATAATGAGCCAAGAATGTCTGTGTCCCGCACGTGACGTCACTCCACGTCGGCCAGCCCCCCTCATTAATAATCATGAACAGGTGCCGTCCTCCACATTGACCCCCACTCCTCATTAATAATCATGAGCAGGTGACGTCACTCCACATCGAACAGCCCCCCTCATTAATAATCATGAAGAGGTGACGTCTTCCATATGGACACCCCCTCCCTCCATTAATAATAATTAGCGGGTGAGGTCACTCCACATTGGGGGGCGAGGCACCTCCTCCCCCTCCTCAGCGTCAAATTACAACCCTCACTACAAAGGCAGAACCCTCACGTCACGCGATCTCCGTAACGCAATTGAGACATAAAAGTAAAAATGACGTCATGATGAACAAGGGATTATAACCTATAAATGAAATAGGTCTGTGTCGCCGCGGCCATACAAATTGCACATGAATTGATGCAATGAATATCACGTCGTGGTCTGCTTTTCGCTTGCACGTTTCAGATTTACTGAAGTACACCCGTCCTTGGACGGGAAAAAGGCGAGTAGTTTCATAAGGCCCAATTTGATGTGTAGTGGTGGCATCAGCACCTTCCGGGGGTCCACCAGTGGCTCCCACTTGACGTTGTTCCTCCACACAGAGAACTCTGTCCGCTGTGGCCAGTCCCGCCTGTGGTAGTGCGCCTTGTTGTCCCTGCTGTCCAAAAGGCAAAGATAGCAGGGAAACTTGGTAAAACCGCCGTGGAGACCCATCAGGAACGCCACTATTTTGAAGTCTCCGATGACCTCCCAGCCATACTCATCATACTTCAAGGCGTCCAGCAAGGTCTTGATGCTGTTGTAATCCTCTTTGAGGTGCACCGAGTGAGCCAGGGGAAGAGACGGGTACTTGTTACCATTATGGAGCAGCACGGCTTTGAGGCTCCTGGATGAGCTGTCAATGAAGAGGCGCCACTCATTCTGGTTACAGACGATTTCGATTGCCTCGAACAGACTGGTCACATTGTGGCAGAAGCAGAGCCCATTTTGATGGGTGAAGAAGCTGCAAAAAGGTTGGTGACGCTTCCTCTGACCTGCGACTTGCACACTTTCATCCAACAAGTTCCACTGCTTTAGCCTAGACGTCAAAAGCTCGGCATTGGACTTGGTGAGACCAAGATGTCTGATCAGGTCGTTGAGGTCTTTTTGGTTGGGGTAGTATGGGTTCCTCTCCTCAGCTCCACCTCTGCAATTGTCATCTGGATCTACAAAGTCTTCCTCACTCTCTGACTTGCTGCTCTCTTCTAAAGACGGCTGCTCTCTCTCCGGGGGAGTGGGTACGGGGAGCTCATGGCAGTGTGGCACCGGGGCGATGGATGAAGGAAGGTCCAGATACGTGATAGCAGGTGCATTCTTGCCAGTCCGACGTTTGGAAGGGTCCACCATGCAAAAGTAGCAGTTGATTAAGTGATCAGTGGGTTCCCGCCAAATTCTTTGGATAGCGAACTTCATGGCTCTCTTTTCCCCTCTACCATCCTACAAAAATAAATGTATTTCACCCATGACATGTGTAAGAGATTCTCGCAACATTTTTCAAATATGATATTTTTTTTCAATAACGATGAAAATTGTAAAACATTTTAAAATTAAAAACTTACAAATTTTTTCTACAAATTTTATAACATTAAATTCCGAGCAACAATTGTCCATCTTACCTTCCAGAGTTTTTTTTTGCATTGCTGGCAGGTGAAATGAGGTGCCTAGAGTTTGTCTTGATCCCCGACAGGCATTCTGAAAATGCCTTGTAGGCCTCACACATCTTAGCAGATGCTTCCACAGAGTACTTTTTTGCTCTTGTCTTGATAAATTGGCCGCAGACATAGCAAAATGCGTCTGCCGGATGCTTGCAGCCTCTTGATGCCATCTCAGAAAAATGCAGATATGTATCCACTTAGGCAGCTGGAACTAAACTGAACTAGTGGGCTTAAGGCCCCTGTATTTATACTACTGTTGCGGGTATGAACGTGGAGCGAGACTTCTTTGGAGGCAACACGTTTATTTCAATAAACGATAACAATGCCAATAGCCGTAACACTTACAGCTATGGTCACTGTAACACTCCGGGGTACGGCCCCGTCACCCGATAACCTAAGGGAGGTACAGCCTCCCTTCTAGCGTGCCCTACACACTCCGGGCTATGCTCTCGCGGGTCCTCCGCTACGGGGGCTAGGCGAGGCTAACCTGACCCGACCTGGCCAGGGTACGGGTCCCACCACTGGTCCGGATGCAACCCGGCTCTGACAAGAGCCTCGGTTGAGGGTCCCAGGGTGCTGGTCTGGTCTTCAGGCGTCTTCGGGTCTTGAGTGGACGAGTACTGCCAGCCCCGTTGAGAGGGACGACTTTTATACACAAGTTGGGGCTTACCCCGCCCTTAACCACACCTTCTCCAGAACCGTGCAGAAGTCTCTGGAAGGGTCTGGAATTAACCGTTGGCCCCTATCCACCAGCCCCCACCCCTTGGGGATCTGGGGTCTCTACCTCCGGTCACGGGGTACCCATGGGCGGGGGGGGGGGGGGTTACCTCAGGTCAACCACCACACCTCCCGCTCACTCTCTCGGCCGCCCCCTATCGGCCTGTGAGAGTGGTAACCATAAGAATACCCACAGCGCCTTGGTATGGCGCAACACTTCTATTAATATTACTGGAACGTTCTAGAATGTTCTAGAAGTTACTCCAAGTTTACTCAGCACTGAATCTATCTGGAATGTTCTGGAAAATAGGTACATTTCAAAATATCACTGTCCTGGTCACAAAAGCAAAGTGTGTGGGGAATAATAGTCATTTTGTGCACTTTTGAGGCATTAGCAATAAGGAAATTGTTACACGGTATAATAATTGGAGTAATCAATTGCAGTACTCTATAGTTAAATAATTGTATGTCCCTGCTCTATTAACAAGATCACGTGATATGTATACATAGCTGTCAACCAAAACGGTTTATCCGTATTCTTGTCCAGGGAAATTGAGTGTTCAGGTCGATACGGCATACAGCCGTTTCAATACGGGCAAAATAATGTGTGCCTATTTGTATGTGTTTCTCCCTTGTGATGGGACTTTGTAGGTTGAACGTTGAGATTTATAAGGGCATGGGGTTGACCAATAAGGTCTGAATTGGTCTTTAATAAGGTAGGCAATGATAAGGGTTTGACAGGTATGTGTATGTCATTTACCAACAACATTTGGAAAACAAATACTGCACATAAATAGTAGAGTAATGCCTTATTTACTATGAAAATCATACTAATATCCCACTGATTGCTTACACATTTTTTGGAAGCTTATTAACATATTCAATCACTCATTTGTATTACGTTGCATGTTTGGTGTACACTTTTTTTAAATGCATGAACAGTAAACATAACATACACCTTACATTTCCCACTCACACATGGTTTATGAAATTCCCTCCCTATATTTAAAGGTTTTTTTTACAATTGCCAGTCTTTTAAATTTATGCAAATTACGCTGTTACACATTTCACTCATCTTATGATTTGTAAAAAAAAATGAAAATCTGCACCATATGCCGAGGTGTAATGATTAGTCTTTCAAACACCCCTCTGCATTAGCAACTTGTCAGTGATTTCCACATTTTCAACTGATGGGATAATTTTTTCACCGAAGTACAGATGGTGGGATACTCGATGATCAGACCTTGAGGCCTCGGCTATGAACTTGAAGAAAAATGAAGAGTTGACCAGATGCAGTGGCATCATTGGCATAGATCCTTGTGACCTCTTCACATTGAAACCTATTCGAATTGTAAGACAGAACTCTATTCATTTAAACATACATTTGTAAAGCAATGTTGAATGGAATATCACCGTTGGATCACTTCAGCTCATGATGAAATATGGATGCTTTGACATACGCGGGATTAGCATCTGCTGTGTCTGGTGCCACAACAGCGGAGCAACTCCGCAAGCGCCGCGATTGTCCACTACCCCCCACCCTGAGCGCACGCACACACGCAGCACTTGCACCGCCGTAGTGGCCTGGCAGGGGATTGCCTGGCACATCGGGTTTTAATCCAAAGGGCCCCTAGAGGTAGAGTCCCACGGTTTCCCGGTGCCAGGAGATTGGCCGGCCCTCACAGGACAGGTTACATTGCGGCGCCCCTAAATTGGCTTAAAATTGCACGGGCGCAGAAGGAAAAGGTTCACTGGGCCAACCGCAATAAGCTATTCGAGACATTGGAAGAGGCGGAGGGTGGAGTATTAGGCAAGAAGGGCAGACCAGGAGGTTCAAATTAATGAACGCGGGAGAACAATGGGTGAGCGGAGCAGCAGCACACTCCGTTGCACTCGCGTGGTACAATGCCACCCTGGGCCTTTGAAGTGAGGGGATTAGGCCACGGTAGAGACGGTGGAGAGGGACGACGGCGCAGGTAAGCGAACGATTGGCTGCGTGGTAGAGAATAAAAAGAGTAGCCCAGGATGATTTGAGCCGAGTTGTCTTCAACCTCCGGGGAATCCGGTTTCAGGTAAGCATCCGTATGGGTAGCTTTCCTGTAGACAGAGTGGCTCATTGAACCATCAGGTCTCTTTTTTATTAGGACATCCAAAAAAGTAGCTTGCCATCACCATCCATCCTAGAAGAATTCCCTCATCATGACTCTGCACCATAGAGCCCAATGTATACCCGACCAGGAGCACATAGGCAGTGAACTCAAGCACGTACACCAAGCTCTTAAGGCTAATGGTTATTCCGACTACACAATCCGCAAAGCTATCACTCCCACCATGAAGAAGGACCCTCTTGAGGAGCCTTTCAAAACCATCACTTTACCCTATATTGCGGGGATCACAAAAAAGATCTCCAAAATCTTGAATAAACACAAGATCTAGGTCCGATTCAACACATTACATAAAATCCGTAATCTGGTTCCGTCTGTAAAAGATGTGATTCCGAACATACAGTACCCTGGTGTCTACAAACTAAGTTGCCTCTGTGGTAGTAGTTACATTGGAGAAACCAAACGACATTTCTCGGACCGCATTCGTGAACACAAAGCAGACCTTAAACACGGTAGGACCAACACCTCGGCCGTGGCAGATCACTGTTATAATTCAGTAGGTTCACATGACATTAACTTCTCCAAGACGGAGGTTCTTTGCAAGCCATCTGGCTACCATGAGAGATTCGTTCATGAGGCTATCCACAAATACAAACACAGACAATTTCAACCGAGAAGATGGATTCTGGCTTAGCAATCATTGGAAGGATTTGATAAACCATTTCGGGTCTTAATTGATTTTTCACGCTTACGGTGGCTTTCAGACCACATCCATTATTTTCGTCTCCCCCTCCTCTTTTCCGAACATAGATGGACTCGTCCATCTGAAAACAAACTGTCAAATCGCTCTCCGTGGTGCTAACGTTAAAAATAACCCGCCACTTTTTTCAAATTTTCTTGCTGTGGTTTTCACACCTGATGATGATTGCTTGTGTTGCAGTCGAAACGTCGTGAGAATTGTATTGTTTTATATTTTTATTATTTTATTGTTTCCCTTCTATGTGATGACTTTACCGAAAGAACCAAGAACATTATGCACTAATTTAGGTTTGGAGGGATAACCTCTGATCTGGCACCGGGTATTGTAGGGCTGCTCCAAATGAGTGCAGGGGGGGGCACTATTTTATTTTTTAATTATTCACCAACACACACTTAATAATGTTTCGATCCACTTAGTTACACCAATATAATCAAGAATCGACACGATACTGTATAACAATTGTGCGCGTTACGTTATTGTTTCAGAACTATATTGACCCTCACCACCCCAACCCCCCCCCCTAATTGAGCCTGATGGTATCGCCCTGATTACCGCCTCAATGCTAATTAGACCCGACCCGTCTATTCCTCTGCAGAGAGAATTCCAGTTCAAAGCGCAACTCCACGTGAACCTCGATATATATTGAGTCCATCGGCTTGTTACGAAGCAGCATTCGTCGAAGCGGGTAACCTCTGGAAGGGGGTTTCAACGTGCGGAATCTTTTAATTGTCCTGGAGAAATCCGATGAGCTGAGAAGCTCTTTATTTACTTACAGACGTCCATTCTGGGGTCTCGGCAGCAGTCGAGACTTGTTAAACAACTGCTGTTGGATTGCACCAGGCGTTATTATTGACAAGGGCACTCCATCTAAACTCCGAGAGCGCTCCACTCCCCCGTGCATCAACAACAACAGCAGCAGCTTCGCCGGGTATAACGTTCAAACGTATGAAGCCGACGTTTCGGGCAATATCGCCGCTTAAATAGCGCACACGAAGGAGAAGGAGGAGGAGGATATCTTCTGAAAAGTTGCTCCTTCATTGACCAGGTGAAGAAAGGCTCATTGTCCGAAACGTCGCCGCGGGTGTCCACCACCCCCGCCACGACTCGCACGGGATCCGGGTTTTCAAAAGTCTCCATTGGCGGGCGAGCCGGACCCGGACCCGGTTCCCCGCGCTATTTGAATGTTGTGAGCTGGTGGCGTTGTCCGCTTGTTGTTTTAGTCCCTATCTTGTTTGTGTGTTTGTCCATCGGCCCATCGCGTCTCCCTGAGCCGCCAGAGTCGGCCATGGCGATGTCGGCTCGCTGGGCCGCGAAGCGAGAGCTCGGCTCGGTCGACGACGCCGGTGGCGCGGGGCCTCCCGCGGAGACGAAGCGACGCCGCGGGGCCTCCACCACAACAACCACCACCAGCCACTCCTCCTCCACCACCTCCACCACCCACTCCTCCACGTCGTCTTGCGGCCTCGCAGCTGCCGGGGTAGTGCACACTCGCCCCCCCCCAACCTACCCCCCCCCATCATCATCTCCATCATCCTCCCATCATCATCATCCCGTTATCTCCATCATTATCATCCCGTCATCTCCATCATCCTCCCATCGTCATCATCCCGTCATCTCCATCATCATCCCGTCATCATCATCATCGCATCCCATCGTTATCCCGTCATCATCATCCCATTATCGCGTAGTCACTTTAAGATGTTTTCTTGTTCATGTTTTTGTTTGTTGCGGTTGCACCCGATTCAAGAAGCCGAATGGCTCACAGGGCTATACAAAATAAATGAAACTGAATCATCATCTCCATCATCCGATCATCTCCATCGTCACCCCGTCATAATCATCATCTCATCAATCATCCCGTCGTCATCATCCCATCATCCCATCATGATCCCAACATTATTCTCCTCCACGTTCCCCATTGCTGTTTGCGTTTTTGTTATTCGCCTGTTGCCGGATTCGTAACTCCTAATGCATGGAGAGTTGTAGACGACACCAACAGTAACGAATCTTAACATGTGGACTCATCTGCACAGCTGTCAACCCATACGGTTTACCCCGTAATCTTGTACAGAGAAATTGAGTTTTCACGTCCATAAGGCGTGCAGCCGTTTCAATACGGGCAAACTAAAATATATAGTTTTTTTATCTGTTTGTGTTTCTCCATTGTGATGGAATGAACGTTGAGATTTATAAGGGCACGGGGTGACCAATAAGGTCTGAATTGGTCTGTAATAAGGTAGGCAACTGATAAGTGGTTGGGAGGTAAGCGTCTATATGTATGAGTGAACTTCTTTCCCACCGTACGTAGCCAATCTCGCTAATCGGAGGTGCGGAGCGGAGGGACAACAAACTAAACACAAAAAAGCAGTTCTAAGGACCGACTCATCTAGTATTTGATCCCCTGCTGATTTTGTACGTTTGCCCACTGACAAAGAAATGATCAGTCTATAATTTTAATGGTAGATTTATTTGAACAGTGAGAGACAGAATAACAACAACAAAATCCAGAAAAACGCATGTCAAAAATGTTATAAATTGATTTGCATTTTAATGAGGGAAATAAGTATATGACCCCCTCTCAATCAGAAAGATTTCTGGCTCCCAGGTGTCTTTTATACAGGTAACGAGCTGAGATTAGGAGCACACTCTCAAAGGGAGTGCTCCTAATCTCAGCTTGTTACCTATATAAAAGACACCTGTCCACAGAAGCAATCAATCAATCAGATTCCAAACTCTCCACCATGGCCAAGACCAAAGAGCTATCCAAGGATATCAGGGAAAAGATTGTAGACCTACACAAGGCTGGAATGGGCTACAAGACCATTGCCAAGCAGCTTGGTCATTTCTTTGTCAGTGGGCAAACGTACAAAATCAGCAGGGGATCAAATACTTTTTTCCCTCACTGTATATAGCACGCGCTTGAGTCACGCATTGACAATGCATTTGGTAAAGGTGCAGCCCTGCAATGGCTTGCCCAAGCCACTGCTGGCGGAAGGGCCTCCACTCCAGGGGAAAATACCCACGCTTTACCCCACCGCATGCGATCTGCCGATCCACAAGCTGGACAGGCGGAGGGGTTTCTGAACATTGCCGCATTGTTTCAGCTGTCGCGCCGGGGGATCGAACGGAGCCGTCGACCTCTGTTGAAAGTCCAATGATTGTGCTTATTACGCATTACACCAGTGGTTCTTAACCTTTACTGCAGCCTTGCACTCCTTTGGTTCTCAGTCATGAAACACGTGTATAATGTTCATAAATACAGAGGGGTTTGATGGAACAAAGTAGTTGTACTTACGTGCCCGTGCTTAGTTTTGTTTAAATTATTAACTTTCTAAAAAAATGTGGCCATGTCTCACACCCCCAGAAAGGGCATCTCGCACCCCCAGGGGATGCGTGCACTCCAGGTAAAGAGCCACTACATTACACCATGGCCGCGATCCTCGCGTGTTAATAATCAAAGATGAAGTCCAAAGTCAAAAGGCCTTTATTTAGCAGTTTGCTCGATAAATGAGAGAGAGAGAAATACTTTTCAAATCACGGTCAGCGAATCGGTGACCTCCACTGCTTGGCGTATTAAACAGAATGGCTTTGACTTAGAATCAATGTTTCTGCATCATTGAGTACTATTAACTATACAAGTATGTTTATATTACTAGGTAAGGCCCACTAAGCGATATATTGCTCTTTTTCAGAAGCGACTTGCCCACAAATGATAGCTCAACAAAGTGGCTTATCATCATGTGGAAAATTATAGCAGCCTAAAATACTCTAGACGCACGTTGATTTTACAATTCAAATCTCTACTTAAAAAATAATAATTAGGGTATGACTGCTTGTGTAACTTCACTCATTGGTCGAGTCACCTTCTTTCCACCCACAGTCCACGCAGTCCAAAGCAAACAACGATTTAGGATTGGCAATGTAACACGCAACATGTGATCCTGTTTAGCCAGTTGCTGGGCTAATTTACAAGGGAAGATCTTTGGTGTGTGGGCACAGCAGCAGGGGCAACAAGAACAGAGGACAAAAACATCAATATTGCAGAGAACAGGGTCGTTCAGGAATATTGCACAACTAACGAAGTATTTGGCGGTCATAAACCAAACGCACCAGCATAAGCTCTATAATTCAGTTTGAGTGTTACACATGTCCTGTACTCATTGGGTATCGTTTTCCATCAATGGGTCGTTTTCCACTTCGCCTTTAACGCCCTCTAAGTCGTTTTCTTACGAGGAATATAGCGGCGCTAGGCAAACTGGGGAAAAAACATTAACGTCCACATTAGCGGTGGTCGAACGGCGTATGCACATCGTGAATACGTGCGCACAGGGGGATGGACAATCTAGCGTTGGGCGCTGCAGCCATGTCACGTGCTGCCAGATACTCGACGGCCACATAAACAGATAGGCTCAACAATAACAATACATGATAATAGGTTTTTCCCCTTTTTTCTGGCAACAAAACAGGTGTTAAGATGTTAAAACACCAAACTGAAACCTTTTACAAGGAATCATGTCTGCATTAACCACAATGCTCGTGGTCAGAATGCAAACAAAAACATACTCTGATAATATATACATTACCCTTCACTTCAACTAATTGGACCACACCAGAGACAGCTTTCTTTTGAGCCTCGTCTCAAACGGTGTTAGACCAGAGGATGCCAAAAAGGGTACAGCCCAAAGACAATTCCACTATCAGAGTAATGAGAGCTCGGGGTGAGCATCTATATCATGGGACCTCCTTTGCCAGTACCAAAATATGATAATAGGTTTTTTCCCCTTTTTTCTGGCAAAATAACAGGTGTTAAGATACTCTTTGGTTCTTTCGGAAAAGTCACGTAGGTAGAAAAAATAATAGTTCACGACGTTTCGATCGCAACAACAAGGTGAGAGAATCAGACTGCTGTGGATGAGGCATTATATTGACCTGAGCGGGGGGGGGGGTTTATGTACTCAGTACATCAAATTAGTGATCTGATCCCATCTGTGGAGGATCCCTGACATGCAATACCCCGGCGTCTACAAACTAAGCTGTGTCTGCGGCAGCAGTTACATTGGGGAAACTAAGCAACATGTCTCGGACCGTGCTCGTGAACATAAGGCAGATCTGAAACACGGTAGGACCAATACCTCGGCCATGGCTGATCATTGTTTTAGTAACATTGCAGCCCTTTGCAGCCTGTAACACGAATGCTTCTTTACACTCTAATTAGACCAGTTAATTACTATGTCTATTCACCACAGTCTCATCAATCATACTAATTTCCCCGTGTAGACCAAACATTAAATCCACCCATGCAAACTACACTTGCACGCATATTAATGTCCTTCATAGTCTCACTCATGTTAATGACACCACTTGTTTTGATTTCGCCTTTGTTAATCAGTACTATAATTTTTGACATGTACATTAACAATGCTGAAATTAATCACGCATATTTAAACAACAGTCACATTGACGCCTATATTAGTAATACAGTGCGTCGTATATTGAACCGTCATTCACTATGTATTCACTCTTTATCAACCAATTTCATCAACCACATTCAATAACACACATCATGGATTATTTAAACTAACTACACATTCATCATTTAATGACAGTGGTGTTAACCACCTTCCTATTTACAACTCTTTACATTATGCTGTACATGTAACCACAGTCCTATATTCCACACCCAGTAATCACACATTAATTAAACTCGCATTAAGCATATGTAACACAATCAAGACACTGGTCACACACAAATTAAAACGATAGTTACACTAATATTTTCCAAAACGTAATAGTAATGTCGGAAAATAAATGATTGCATCATCTAATAAAATATAATTTTATATGAATTTACACTACACGAAGTGTATGGTGTAACCGTCATGTATGTAAAAATACCGCAATACAATAATGAGGCTCGTGTATATATATGTTCTTAAATTCACGTGACGTTATTCCATTGCGACCTTGGCGAGTGCATCACAAATGATATAGTAGGCTGTGATCGGGGGGTTGTTGTCGCAAACCCATGTGCTTCCAGAAACACGTGCACAAACTTCGGGAGCAGCTGAGCCGAGAGGAGCGCGTGCGCGAGGGCGTGTGCCGCCTGTTGTCGGCTTGCACGCAGCGCGAGCAGACGCTGCACGCCGCCCAGGCGCTGCTGGCGTGCAACGCGCGCATCCAGGCGTTCGTCGAGAAACTGCGCAGGGCGCAGGGTGCTGAGCTTGTCCGACGCGCGTCCCGCAGGTAACGGGCGAAATTCGGACCGCCACTGAGGTTGCTTCAGGATGTGGAGGGTGCCTTATTTGGGAGTGCTGGTGTCGGTGCTGCTGGATGTCCCGGGGTTTGAGTCTTAGGTGCCAAATGGAACAAAAGGAAGTGCGCCCAATTGGCTAAATGCCTGCGTTAGATCGGTCTTCTTTGTCGCGTCTCCTGTCCAACCTATGTGGGTTTTTTTCCCCCAGTATTCTGCATAGGACACCGCTTTTGGTGTTGGCATTGTCAAATTTTGAGGAGTGCATTGTGGTGCTGCAGGGCATCTCAGGAGATGATCCGTCGTTTGCTTCTCCTGACACCACTGAGATCCTGCGCTTGATTCTGGAAAGCCACCTCTGATTAATCCTGATTACTAAATTATAGGGATTTGATTGTTGTAGGGTTGTAACTACCAATAATACATAATGGATGGAATGTATGAACATGATGTGCCAGTCTAATGGCTGGTATCAAAGGTGAGCATGGATGTTTGTGTTCCCTATAGTGCTGCAGATTATGATAACAAGGAACGGTCAACATGCAAGGCCAAAGTCTGTCTCTCAGGTTAAAATGCACATATACTCTCATTTCGAATGGTAAATAGACTAAACATTTCATAAAGCATTCTTAGCAGGTACCAGTTTAAACCTAAACAACTCTGTGCAAGGACTGCAAAGAAATATGCTTTACTGAACATACATTGAAAATACTTTTATGTCGCAAGTGCTCTACAGAGCTCCGATTGGCCCCTCCGATTAGCATGGTTAGCTATGTATGGTGCGAAAGAAGTTGAACATACATACATAGCTAAAAACAAATCAAATGTAGACAAATAAGAAATATAAAAGCCCACAAGCTAGTAACAGGAACACGTCACCAAATAAACAAAACATGAATAAAAAAATGCATATATGAAGGAGTAATAAAGCCTTTAAGAACTGATGTTCTTAAGCCGAGAGGCTCAGCGGACAGAATATCTAGTGGAAGACAATTGATGTACCCATTTCGTATAACCTCGATTTAACACGGTTTTGTTGTACAGTGCTAAAAGGGCTGAGTAATATTTGTCTGACTTTAGTTTGCAGTTAAAGATGCTTAATGTGTGGAATGACAGATGTATAAACAACAGCCACTTCAATACATGCATATAAAGTTGGACTTTGTTCACGCAACATGCTAACAGTGCCTCCCTCTTTCACAGACATTCGAATCCCACTCATGTGGAAGGACACGGATCATTTTCAGAACAAAGGAGGTTGGTAAATACATGCTTTTTGTGTTTAGTTTGTTGTCCTTCCCGTGCACCTCTGATTAGCACAGATTGCTACGTACGGTGCGAAAGAGTGTAATTATTTTTAAACCATTAGCAATTAATAATTGTTATCTATCATATAATTGTATGCAAGTGCTGGTATTTTAAGTGAACGAAATATGAAGTATTTTAAGGCAATGTTTAACAACTGAATGGTTGCTTTGAGGATATTATGCATGAGAGGAGATACATTTTCTTTGGTTCTTTCGGTAAAGTCACGTAGAATGAGAATAAAATAATAAATTGATCAAATAAAATAACACAATAATATTCTCACGACGTTTTGGCCGCAACACAAGCGGTCTTCATCAGGTGAAGGGACGAGACTGTCTGGAGGACAGCGCTGGTGAAGGCCGCTTGTGTTGTGGCCGAAACGTCGTGAGAATATTATTGTGTTATTTTATTTTATCAATTTATTATTTTATTCTCATTCTACGTGACTTTACCGAAAGAACCAAAGAAGAGGAGATACATTGTTTATAGGTGTAAATATCTGTTCACTTCTCTGTACGCTTGCTTTCAGAATTCCACAGATTTGCTGTGTTCTGCCTGCTGAAGATGGACACGGAAGTTTTCGACACAAAGATGATCACCGTGGATCGCACAGTCACTGACATCTTGTTCGACAGCGTGGCTGTGTTGTAAGTGTCCAGGCAGATGGATGCATTGCGCTTTCTTTTTAACGTTTGTGCAGCAAAGTCAACTGGACGTCGGTCACCAAAGTTTGTAAGCTATAGGAAAAAGGTGTCCCTCCCAGTCATGTTATGAGTAAAGCAGGAAAATACCATTGTATTCTTTAAATTGAGGAATACAATGAAGATGAGAAATATATTTGCATTTAAATGTATTGTTATGTGCATGATTTGGAAGTGAAGATTTTAAAAAATCGGTTCTTTTTTAATTCCAATAATTGTGGCTCCTACAGCAACCATGCAGCGGTTTACATTTTATGGATTAAATATACGCCTGACTTAGATTTGAACTTGCAACCTTCCGATTGTGAGTTGAGTACTGTGTCAACAGTTTTAATATATAATGTTGACGTAACATGCAATTTCGCCTTCAAAAAAATTGTTGAAGTATTCCATTGCAAAGCACCGTATCCCGCAACATAAAGCTTTGCAAATCCTATGTACGGTCACTCTTGCAAACCATGATGACATATTTTATAGAACACTGCAAGATGAGAAATCTAAAGGCTAGCTGAGAATATCTTAAACACGATGGCTGCATAAACAAATTCGTTCAAATGTAAGTAACATTTTGTTGAACTCATAAGAAACTCATATCTTTGTGGTGGTGGTGGTGGCGGTGATGGCAGCCCTGCTACGGAGCCAGGCTTTGAGCTGCAGCTGGAGGTGTACAGCTGCTGCCTGCTGGAGGACCTCTCCATTGCAAGCACCCCACGCCGTCTCGCCAGCCGCCTCAGCTCCTCCGTGGGGCGTTCCACGGGCCGGCGGGTGCTTCGACAGCGCTCCCTCAGTGACTTGTCGAGGCCCGCTCCCCGTCAACCTCCAGTCAGGTGGCCCCACCGACCCCTACAGCAGCCTCGGGAATACAGAGCAAGGCTAACACGGTGGCGAGATGTTAAATACCTCTCCTGGTATATGGGAGGTTGTGGGTTCGTTCCTGGCCCTGCTATACATTTCCACGTGATAAGCCACTTCGTTCAGCGATCATTTGTGGCCAGGTCGCTTCTGAAAAAGAGCTATATGGCTCAGTAGGCCTTACCGGGTAAAATAAAAAAATAGTTTCAGTTTTAACACGTACACCAGTGTTCTCCACTTTCGCTGATAAGACATCATCAGTGTGCGGGCCGCCACACATTTGAAACCATTGAGGTTTGACAGCACGGTGATGGGGGGGGTGTTTTCACATTTGTGTATTGTCGGGGGTGGCCGCACGTCAGGGGCCGCACTAAAGGCCACCAGGGGCCACCAGTGGCCCGCAGGCCTTAAAATGACGAACGCTGATGTACATGTTTTTCAGCACAGTTCGCTTGAACCTAGTTTGCCAGGTGGGTTTCCTTCTCTAAATGTTAAGGAGTACCCAATGGCTGTGTGTTGTCACCGACCACATGATGATTGATTTGGTGATGTGTTTGTTCATTTGAGTCTGGTGTGATTAAATGCACTTCTAAAACATTTCCAGTACTCGATGTGCTTCGTATATTAATATTTACCAATCGGAATGTGTACCAAAGCTGGCTAATCTGTAAATATGCTGAAATGTAACAATGAACGTGCCTTAGGGATGTTTCTACAGTAGCATAACCTTGAAAGTCACTTTTAAAAGTCGCTGAAGACGAACTACCACATTTTACTGCTCTTAACTTCAATATACTGCTAAGATAAGGGCTTTTATAGAGTACTTGTTAAGCCTAGCATTGCATATGTGGGTTCGGTATAGCATTGAAGAAGTCAGGGTATTATTGTTGTGCGTTTTAACCTTTGTAATATATGAACAAACTTGCCTTAAATATGTATATGCATTGTTTGTGAACCATATGTAACAATTGCCTGTGGTACATTTTGTATATATATACATAGAGCGCCTAAGTTCCACTTGCTGGCTCGTGTGGCATTGACGCTGGAGCATGTTTATGATGGCTTCCGGACTCACGACCTCACGATCACGGGCAAAGGTTGGTTTCGGGTTGGCATAGTTTGAATGGCTGTGCTCTTGACTTTGGGACACACTGGCAGATGTCGAGTTCCATCGGCTTTCAATCCAGTATTAATCATAGCTTGTATCCCGAAAAGCCTTGGTGAGTCTCAAGATCTTTTTTTTTTCAGAAGGATCTTGCTCACTATGTTTGACTATTAACATGTGGATGTGAGTACCCAGAGAAAGCTCATCAATGTAAGGGGGGGAACATTCACAGTCTGTGTAGGTAGGTCAGCAAGCTACTTGCTGCCTAGGCTCTTTCCGCATATTGTCCCAACATCATTGCCTATGAACTACACAGTGGCCACGTAACAGTGCATAGATGTGTTGATTCATATCTGTTGTTATGCTCATGGTACACGAATTGAGCAAAACTAGGAACAGAAAACGTCAGAAATAATACAAACAAGTTGGTTAAAATTTGACAAAGCATTCTTTAAATTTAAAAGTGACTCCTAATTGTGGATATTCATCGTTTAATAACTGGTGAATCATTTCATGCTTACTAAAGACACAACTAAAAATCACAGAAAGACGGATCCCCTTGTAGGTATCAGGGCATGTGGTGACAGTGATCACCTAAGATAGCCGGTAGCCACAAGCGTGTGGTGTCGTTGGCACCACACGTACCACCTGTCTGACTGTCTTTAACGGTGCATGCTTTAATTTCAAACCGAGTTAACGAGCGAATGCATGTATGATACGTAGCTTTAGCGATTTCATTTTAGGGTTACCACGATACGATATGTTCAATGCATGTTAAAAGTTTTTTTATAGCAGATAGGATTGTTTCCTGAAAAAAACTTTCTGCTAAATTGCAGTTCATATAGGTAAGCTAAGAAGTACCTTAATTTTTTACTTTACATTTTACTGTGCAATACAGTATTGTAATTAATAAATACATACAGTATATAGTTGATACTATACGGTACTGTAAATTGCTCTGTTTTGCTAAATTATCATCATTCTTTAAGGCTAGGACATCTTCGACTTACGATATTTTTGACTTACGATGGGGTCGTCGTAACGCATCTCTATCGTAAGTAGGGGACTATCTGTATGTACATTAGGTATTTGTTATTCAGGGAATGAATGTATGTATGTTGAACTTCTTTCGCAGCGTACATAGCCAACCATGCTAATCGGAGGTGTGGGGAGGCAAGTATTTGATGCACTCTTCTTATTAATCATGTATACTTCAGGATAATTAATGTGACCTTGAATTGATGCTTCATGAATTAAAAAAGGTGGGACGACACATATAGTTAGTTTTGAACAAACTTACCTGCCTCTTACAGCTTATTGTCCTTTTTATGAAATACAAGTGTACACACTCCTGTTAAGAATAACTTTAAAAATACAAGATTAGAAGTCATATGATGCCGTTATGCTGGACTGATGGTAGTGGGTTTAGTCATGTGGAACTGTGTTAATTTCCTGATTCAAGGTTCATAGTATTGCATCTTCTTTGAGCCTATGAATAGCTCGACATTGCAACACTCTTTTGGCTTTGTTTTTCTTACGTTCAATACAGAGGGATATTCATATTGGCTGCCACTCTACGGAAACGTCTGCTGTCGCTTAGTCGCTCAGCCAGCTTGCATGACTGAGGACAGAATGACCGGATTCCTTATCGTGCAGGTAAATGTGTAATTTTACCTTATTTAACATTTGGTCCAAAGTCTTTTGAACTAGGAATAACCCCCATTGATATTTACCATTACATTTTTGTCAGTTGAAGCAGTTGGCGGGACCCCGGGGTCCCATCACTGCCCCCGGGTGGGAAAAACCTTCGTAGCGACACGAGTCTTGTTACCTTACCGACAACAACAAAACTAGTGGTCAATTGATTGGCCTCGTCGAGAGCTACTCGGGGCACTAAGTGTCGTAAAAAGTTGAAAAATTACATAAACACGTTAAATTCACCGCCGGGGGGCGGGCTCGCCTTGGCAAAGAAGCCGAGGATCGACGGCTGACCGGAGGGCGTCGTCGCCGCGCGCGACCGCGGCGGACGCCCCCCGGGGCTCGCGTTTGGCCGGTGGGGTGGCGCCCATCGTGTTGATCGCCACCTGCTGGCGCTTGTTGGCGCGAGTCTGGGCGGGCGGCGCGTTGCTGTCGGGGTCACGAGTGGGCGGACTGAAAAATAATAATAATTATTGACCTGATTTTTGCGGGACCCCGGGGTCCCGCCAAATGATTCAGTTGTGCACTATGTATGTTTGGTACAGTGTCAAGAAAATATGAGGGTATTTTAAAGTTAACCTACACCCTTAGTACTCAGAAACTTAATTTACGGTAATAGCAAGTGAATAAAATGTACTCTATTATTTTAAAGTTATTCCGCTGCTGCACACATGCATTTTCTCCATTGGTGATGTAACACCTTGTTGCCAGAAGCATAGACACCCGTACCCCACCATTTCAGAACATGTTTTCTCATCCATACATTCATTACCAACTCACGTGCATTTGTGAACGCAAGGCCGTAGCCATGGAGTCAACATTGGGGGGGACCAAATCTTCCAGGGGGTCTAGGGCCCCCCCCCCCAGAAAAAAAAAAATTTTGAAAACAAATTTCCTGCCATTTCCTGCCTAAAATATAAAAAAATCACATACACATGGGATGGACTTTTTTTACAATAATGTCTAATAGTGTATTGTATTACATTGCTCTGTTTTTAATTTTTTACCTTTTCTTGTTTCATTGTATGTAATGGCAGAGATTAGGGATTAATAAAGTACAACCATAACCACAATCATATAAACAGAAATATATGCGTTGTTATATGAAGACAAGTCCAGATATTGTGGGCAAGGTTTAGCAAATTGTTGTTTTTACTTACATAGCATACAAATTATTACTTTTTAAATATTGTTTGTAGAAATATATTGGGGGGGACATTTTTAGCATATTGAATATTGTGTAAACGTATACACCGACTACGACTGGTATCGAAACAATTGTGTGTACCACTCAACAGCTTCGTATATTTTCGGCTGGTTTTGACAGTTTTAACCAGAAATATCATCACCATTATATTCTCACAAACACACACAACACACTGTTTGACCCCATCTTTGGAAACACCAGTACTGCTCCGCTCGGTTGTGAAGTCACTTTACATTCGAAGTTCACAGAATCTTCCAATAGTGCTCGACAAATGTACTGTCATTTTGTTTATTTTATAATAAGCCACAACAATATATGCAGGCTAACCTTGAAGGTCCCCTTATACTACTTTAAACATTGCGATGCCCATGATTCATTGTTCCTTTTACCAAAGAGGTGTTACCTTCAGTTGTGATTTTCAGATCATCGTACTTTCATACAGGTGTTAGATATGCATGATTTTTATATTTTTCTCATTTTATACTTGATGTACAACAGTGTTCTTCACTAATTTTCAGAGGGGGCCACTTTCGCCAATAAGACATCATCAGTGTGAGGGCCGCCACACATTTGAAACCAATTGGGTTTGACAGTGATGATGATGGTGGGGGGTGTTGTCACGTGTTGTGTGTTGTCGGGGGCCGCACGTCAGGGGCCGCACTAAAGGCCACCAGGGGCCGCCAGTGGCCCACGGGCCTTGCAATGAACAACACTGGCATACAGTGTGATAGACTAGATCCTATACCAGTATTAATACACACTTGTTTACGAAGGAAAGTGTCACAGATTACAAATATTTGTTAACGGCGGATCCAAATTGTTAACTTTTTCTATATTTCCGTCAAATATTTGTGCGTGCCGGAGGAGACCAGGATGGAGAAGCTTCACAGTGAATAGCACTTGAAACTAGGTGCAGATAGCCGATCCGACATCCCCTTGCTGCTCTGCCTCCTGCGGACACCTCATTACAGGTGGTAGTCTCACGCACCTGATGTTGCCATCGCTGCCTAATCTGTGCCACTAGTTTGGCAGGGATGCACCACCAAACATTAGCTCGTAAGAGAGTGACTGGTTTACCGCTAGCACCAAACTTAACAAGCTGAGATGACAAACGGGGGTCCCCGAATTCAAGGAAACTCTTTAGATTTTGGAATTGTGCGTCAACGTAAAGCAACTTGCATGATTTTTCTTTGCTTCTGTGCCAAAGTTGTGCTCGTGCAGCTCTTTTCACCATCGCGGTCTCAACAGGATGGAGACGAGCAAGATTGCAAGCTCTTCTGTGTGCTCATAGAAGGCAAGCTGTTGTGTTTCGCCACGCCACAAAGCAGGGCCAAGGGACAGGAGCCAGTGTTCATCATGCCCGTCAACAAGGTGACCCGAGCGACACACGGACACACAGAGAGAGGTGGTGGAAGACAACAACATTTTTTCTTAAACATTGCTCTTCAGATTTGCAGGACTAAAACGTACCTTTGCGTTCACCTGTAACCCCCTGCTCGAAGTCGTTTGTGTGTGCTGCCACATCTGGAACAATGAGGCGTATCCTGTAGTGTGCGTTGGCGCACGATTAGATCGGCGCGCATCGTCTTTGCCGCACAGGATACGAGGATGCGCTTGGTGGGTTGTGAGGATGGCGTGGATCGGCTTCAAGTGCGAAACATGGAGTCGGCACGGTGGCAGAGTCACACGCTGCTGGCACATCGCTCCCCAGACCTACTGGCCTGGCTGGAGGCACTCCGCCAACACGTTTGGGATCTCGGTAAGAACATCGAATGAATCCTTTGTTTCACGTTGGAACATTTCCACATTTCCACTGGAAGCTATAATGTCAGGCCAGGCAACGACAAAACCTAGTGATTTACAGAGGGAATGATAGATTCTTTAAACCATGTGTGACATCTTATTTCATAAAGCCTCAACTTTAGGTGTCGGTTAATTTTGATAAAATCTTTCATCTCGTGTTTTTGGTGAATTTTTTTTGCTGTTTTACATCAAATTTGGCATAGAATTACTTTCCACCCAATAAATGAATGTGGACACAAATATGCTTACATTGGGCGTCCGTCAGTTTACTTATCGCACAGGTAATGTACACATTGACACAAGGCTTGTAAAGTTTTGAAACAGAGGTTGCCAACTCAGCCTTGATGGCTATTGGTAATGAATATCTTTCAATGTCAGCATTATAGTTTCAATTATATGCATTTCCTTGATGTTTATTTGATGTGGTAAAATGTTTGCCTGCAAGGCCTGGCTGTGAATGCTGATCCCTTTCCTTAATTCAATGAGCATGTCTTGTACAGAAGAGAAGCCATGTTCTGATAGCTAAATGAGGTTTTGTGAACGTAACAAACAAAATAATTTTGCACATTGACAAGATGCCATACATTTTCAGTGGATTCATTGAACACATAGCAGGACGTGTGGTCTTGGCTGAGTGTGTACAGTTTTTTTGTTTATTTGTGCTCCTATCAAAAAAGTTAAACCCTGCCAAAATTTTTACTTCGTTTGCCTGTGTAAAATAAAATAGCCACTTTGTATACAGTGCTCCAAGACAAAGTATACACTGTGAAAACTCCAAGTTGTACCCATGCAGTGTGCTGTTGTTTGCAAAACCTCATATTTGCATTGATAACATACATTTTCAAATTCCAATTGGTGTCATTCATGAGAATGTTGCAGTTGTTGGATTTACGAAGGCCTCTTTACACCGATGCCCATTGCCTTTGCAATGTATCGAACTTGCGAGCCCTGGCTGTTAAAATGCCACCCCAAAATGCTCGTCATATTCTGCCGTCTCATCTCGGTTATGCAATTCTCCTCTGCCAATCATCTCGTCGGTCAACCCATGACACCTGGGTCTGTCTCGTGACCTCCTGCCAGCAAGCTTTCGATGCTTCACATGGCCTTAAAGTGTACATTTCCTGGTACAAGCACCGTGGTGACGTTACTACCACTTGGTGGCGAATGGCGGTTGTTGTAATTCTCCTTGGCTTGTGCTATTCCAGACAATTGGAAGCAGTGCTGTAACAAGGTCATGGCAATTGAAGAGCTGTTGCCCAGGGCAGCTAATCTGCAGTCAAAGCCAGGATCATCTCTTTATTATGACATGGGTAAGTTGGATGTGTGCCTAAAAGATTAAATTACACAAATAATTTATCTGACTGGGAATTTTTGAAGACTGTACCAGTAGGACATAACTTTTTAACACTTTTATACATGCTATGTGTCAATTTTACAGTTTTACTTTTACAAACCAGTAGAAAATCTTGAGTTCTGAATGAGAGGGCCTACTTATATATATGGTATTACATAGGTAGTAATTTGGTTTTGGTTTAGAGGTAATATATTTTCATGAAACCCGTGTTGAAGATTGAAGTGAAAAGACAAAGATTCTAGATTTGAAGCTTTCATGACTGCAAGGATCCATACTCTTTGTTTCTATTCGGTAAAGTCATGACAGCACGGTCCCTTCACCTGATGAAGGCCACTTGTGTTGTGGCCGAAACGTCGTGATTTTTGTTGTTTTATTTTTTACCTACGTGACTTTACCGAATAGAACCAAAGAGTAAAGATAAAGATTATGGCGGCGCAGTTCAAAATTTACATTGAAGTGCTACTAAGGCAAACTGGCACCTATGAACATTGTAAAAGCAACAGTACATTCCAAATTGGGCTCACAAGATCTGTTGTTGTTTTATGGAAAAATCATGAACCTCAATTTGCTTTCTTCTGCATAAAGGCTTGCAACAATAATAAGTCAAATCTTGACTTAAAGCTTTCGTGACTGCAGGAATTCATATTCTTTGGGTCTTTCGGTAAAGTCACGTAAATAGGTTAAAAATGTATAAAAATAATCAACAAAAAACCCACGACGTTTCGATCGCAACACAAGCAACCGTCTTCAGGTGGAAAAAAGGGGGGCAAACTGATAAAGGCAAGATGTTTTTAAAGGTTTAAGATGGGCATAGCCCAAGTGTCAGAACGGAGTAAAGCTATCACCCCAACCGTTGGGAAAGAACCATCTGAGGACCCAATCAAAACCATTACCTTATCATACATAGCAGGGGTCACCAAAAATATTTCCAAGATCATGAGCAAACACAAGATCCAGGTTCGATTTAACACAGTGCATAAAATTCGTGATCTGATCCCATCTCTGAAGGATAAGATCCCTGACATGCAATAACCTGGCATCTACAAACTAAGCTGTGTTTGTGGCAGTAGTTACATTGGGGAAACTAAGCGATATGTCTTGGACCTTGTTCGTGAGCATAAGGCAGATCTGAAACACGGTAGGACCAACACTTCAGCCGTGGCTGATCATTGTTTTAATGCAGTTGGCTCACACAAAATGTATTTCTCTAAGACGAAGGTACTTTGCAAGCCCACCGGCTATCAACAAAGATTCGTTCATGAAGCCATCCATATAATAAGACACAATTTCAACCGAGAGGATGGGTACAAACCTCAGCAATCATTGGAAGGACGTCATCAACCAGTTTAAGTCATAACTGGCTGTGATGATTCCATCTTGTCACCTTCCGATGTTATTTTTATTTTACTAAAGATGTGTCGCCCCGGCATTGGGCGCACCAAAATTCGTTAATTTCTCCAGGGCTCATGCACCTACCCCTTCTCTTGATTCTCCAATTTCACATTAACATAACCATCTCTGCATGAAGTTGGACTGGCTACAAGTACGAAAAGTTGTTAATTTCCCACATTAACATAACCATCTCCACTTGTGCTGGCCCCAGGGCCCTTGTGCCCCACCCACTTCGTTCTGACACTTGGGCTACGCCCATCTTAATAAACCTTTAAAAAAACTTGCCTTTATGAGTTTCCCCCCCTTTTTTCCACCTGAAGACGGTTGCTTGTGTTGCGATCGAACCGTCGTGTGTTTTTGTTGATTATTTTTTATTGATTTTAAACCTATCTACGTGACTTCACCAAAAGACCCAAATAATAATTCTGCAGACTGCATCTTTAGATATCTGTTGATAATGATGATAATACCTTTTAAAGCCTAATTTTCGAGGTAGGGTTGGTGATTATGCAAATGTGTATGAAGCATTAACAGCCCTTTTTATCAGCCCACTGCTGGATGAAGGCTTCCCCATGCTGTGTCGATTGTAGGGGTGTGTTTGACCATGCTTCATCATGCTGGTCGGTGTGGATCAGTGGAGTGCAGGACAGATTCAGATATCGCTTGCCACTAATGTTAGCTGTGCCCAGGAATTGAACTCGGGTTACTTGGTTCGTAGCACAGTCGTGCGAACCGCCGCACGACTGCTCTACCCCAAGGTGGCCAGTAGATGGTGGTAATTGTGTTTATGACCTGCCTGCTGGCATTATGTGCTGTTGTGTGTCGGCTAACAATACAATCTATCGACAAACTGACAATAGACATGTATATTAAAAAAAGTCGTGAGATAAAACTTAGTACGGGCCAGTTCATTTGAAGGGTACTGTGAATATTTAACATGTGGAATAAAGAAGGGTATCACATAGTAAACCCAAAATATTTCATCTTGACTTAAAGCTTTCGTGACTGCAGGAATTCATATTCTTTGGGTCTTTCGGTAAAGCCACGTAGATAGAAAAATAATAATAATGTGGGCACACGTTAAATTGATCTTTCCAAGACGAAGGTACTCTGCAAACCCATTGGCTATCAGCAAAGATTCGTTCATGAAGCCATCCAGATAGATAGACACAGACACAATTTCAACCGAAAAGCTGGGTACAAAATGAGCAATCATTGGAAGGACGTTATTAACCAGTTTAAGTCATAACTGGCTGTGATGTTTCTATCCTACCTGCCGATGTTAGCAGTTATTTCCGACTCTCTGAGTTACATTACCAGGTTAAATGTCTTTACATTAACAGGCTAAATGTCTCACTAACACAGCCACTGTTGCGGTGGTTCTCTTACATTGACATGCTAATGTCTCACAATACAATGGCCACCTCCACAGCTTTGTCGTCGTGGAGGTAGCCCAGCTCTCCGATCTTACATTGACATGCAAATTTCATGTCTAGCCCCGCCCACTTCGCTTATGACCCTTGGGCTACACCCATCTCAAACCTTTATAACATTCTGCCTCAGCAGCTCTCCCGCTATATTTTTTCACCTGATGACGATTGCTTGTGTTGCAATCGAAACGTCGTGATATATATTTTTTTCTGTCTACGTGGCTTTACCGAAAGACCCAAAGAATACAAAATATTACAATTTGTATACAGCAAAAGCTCTGTCTGGCATTCATGAGGAATGGAGGGTGTCGGCTAATCAAATATGCCGGTTATCTGAGAGTAATACTTATGGATCGCCAAATTTCCCAAGTACGTAAAACCTTTCCAAAAAAAAAACCTAAGCCTACATTATAACTATGATGAAAATAAATAATAAACTCTTAAAGATGTACTCAGCAGTCCGTTGTAGAGCATTCTAAGTTGATTGTCGAGAAGCAGTGTGGGCCGTTTAGAGTACAGAATACAGTAGTGCAGGATTGTATGTACAGACTGCCACTAGCGCCACCACTCGGCAGCGTCCTGAAGCTTCCGTAAACAACAGGTCAATGATGAGTGCACGGCTGTCGTGAAGGAAGATTCATATTGCCGTCTATGACAGATGTCGGTGAATAGAACATTCGGGATGGTAAAGTGCCGGATAATGGAGCTTTTGCTGTATAGGTTCTACATTGACTGCAATCTATTTACACTTGTAAAAACACAATGTCAAACAAAATTTGGGTAAGGCCTCAACATCCGTGAGGCTTAGATTCTTGAAAATGTGCACGAAGGTAGAATTCACGAATGTAGATGCGATATTTATATGGCGGGGAAATAAGAAGGGGTAAGGTTCCCGTGTCCGTTGAACTTACCGGAGAAAATGTAAATGTTTCACAACATTAATCCTGTACTGTACATATAAATAACATTCATATACTTGATTACAGTTTACAAGAATGCAAATAAGACAACAAAATAGAGCCAATGAAGTGAAACATATCAATAAATGATCTTGAAAAATTTTAAGTTGTATTTACCCTGGATGATGATGGTGGTGATGTTGGAGAGGAAGTGAAAGTGATTACTACTTTTTGAGCTCTCTCTTCCTCCACTCGACGCTTAGACCCCATGATCGACATAAAATAAAAACACCACAAATAAGGAAAAAAATAGCACAAAAGGCAACGGCACTTGAACAGTAAAAGCTTCGGGCATGTGAATCACGGCACAGCTGACGACACAATGGCTTGGGTGCGCACACTGTGGTCACGATCCACTGCTGTACTGCACAGTTTACACCTCCCCCATGATGCGATATTCTCAAAAAGAACTTGTATCAAGCATTAAATCTCGAACAATCGAATTTTGCCAAAGAAAAATCCGCGAATGAAGAGGTTTTACTGTATTCTGAAAAAAAGTCTTAATCCTCGGTGACTCATTCCTGCATGACTAAAACTGCTTTATTTTGTATTTATTATGGGCCCCAATTAAATTCCGCTTCATCTTTATTCACAGACATCAACTCTCCGAGCAAAAACATTTCCCCGCTGCCAAACGATAGAGCCCAGCAGCCCGCCGATATGCCAGGTGCCTGCGGCAGCCTCGCCACCGTGCAGTGTGCGGGGACGGAGCCGACGCTCGAGGCGCCGGGCGACGCGGCCGATGCGAACGAGCCGGGAAGAGGACGGAGCAGCAGCGGAATCGCTCGTCCCTTCGGCAAGAGCGCGGAGAAGCGCCCCGCCATCTGCGGGGAGCGGCGGATGTCCCTGGACGGAAAGCTGGCGGCGCTCAAGCATCGAATACTGCAATGGCCTACGGCCGGAACCCCACGCAAGATCCGGACGGCTGGCGGCCCCAGTGAGCGGCGTGTGGCGGTGGCGGAGGCCGCAGTGGCGGGAATGGGAAGGCCGCCTCTCCCCCCGCGGCGCTGCACACTCCAAAAGTGACGTGCAGAGTAGCAGCGGGATGCGTGGTTAAGGAGCCAAAAGGTGGACAGTAGCACACGTCTTGTGCTTGGGGATTAAACGTCGTATGATTAGAGTTGGGGAGTCCCTCATCGTTTCGTCGTGGAGGGGTTAGTGCTGGAGTAAGGGCTAGATTAAGGTTGTAGGCTTCGTCGGAGAACAGCGTTGCCAGATCTGTAGAATCAAAGCTTCGCAACGAATGGAATTCACACCTCGAGATGTAATGAAAAATAATTTAAAATGTGATTTTTTTTTGTTACAAATAATGAGAGTAAAAACGATACAACATTCTTGGTTCTTTCGGTAAAGTCACTGTTACCGAAAGAGCCAAGAATATGAATCCCTGCAGTCACGAAAGCTTTCAATCAAAACGATACAACAGTTTACATACAGCTCAAGGGAAGTACGTGGGCTGAGGCGGCTGGCAGCTAATTATCTCGCCTGCAAATGCGATGCAATGAAGCCCAATGACCAAGTTAGCAATAGTTATATAAAAAAATATATATATCTTAATTTGGCCAACTCAAGCTCTGAATGTGTCGGATGACTGACAGTCAAGAAAACCACCCTTCAAAGATCATTCAGGAGTGCCGTTTCGCGTTTGGTTAGATAATTAATTCCAGAAGTAATTATCTGGTGTCACCGTTCGATGTAATTCCTGAATGTGATATGATGCTCTGTTGACTTGCAGGAGTTCTGGAAAAAACATGGTTCGTTGCTTCATAAGACCATAATAGAGCATTTGGGATATAACTGTCGATTAGAACATGAAATGTAGCATGTAAACAGAAAATTACGTTTATTTCTGGTGCTAGCCAGTTAAAATCTGCAGCAGATGTCAATTGCTTTACTAATGAGATAGCCGTTTGGTGTTTTTCTGACTTTTTTTGATCTGGAAAGATTTGCAGGGTGCTAACGGTTGATGTAATCTACGTTCAACTGCCGTGCTTGTGAACATTTTGGTAATGTTATCATTGATGGTGATGCTAAAACTACTGTTGTTTGTGATACTTGATTGCTTATTTTATTTCAAAGTTGTCTTCCTTGTAGCGCACCAACTACTGAATGAACAATTACTGGGTTGCAGGCGATGCCTGTACATTTTCCATTGTTCGTACCTTTAATGTGCAGTAGGAGTTTTATAGTTCATAGCATTTAGCTTTTGAGTGTGTCTTGGGTTTAAAATAGACCTCAGTTTTTGTTGTGGTTATTTGTAGATTGAGAAAATGGTACATTTTGTCAGATGACGTAAGAGTAACGACTCTGAACGCGTTTCAGTGCTGATACGGAGCAGTGTGGTCCAGTGCTAATTCTTTGGCGGTTCTTAAGGACAGTAGTGGAAATGTAACATTTCCCAGATGGCAGAAGGGTAGTCCAAAAGGACACCCATTGACTATTACATTTGCAAAAAAGTGGTACGTAATTTATCGACTAACAAGATGATGGGCTGCATTGATCTCTTCCTGAGATTTGAACTCACAAACCTCACAAATGTGAATACAATTAACTCCAACCAAGTAACCTGGCTGGATTAAAAATGCCGGTGAGTGTGAAGTTTGGTATAACTGTTACAGTACTTGCGATGTAATATTGTTTCCCTCACTTTCAAGTGGAACTGCAAGTCGACAGTTAATGTAACGCATGCCTCTTGACATTTACCACAAATCCCCAATGCTTCGCTTTTGTTACCAATAAAATAACTGCGCTGGGAATGAAGTTCATGACGCATTTTTCAAGCGTGAGCAACGAGCGTCGCACGAATAAACAGTTCAACAGAAAGTTGCTACATTAAAGGCTGCTGTGTTGGACATTGTGTGTGTGTGGGGAGCGGTAGTGTAGCGGTTAGCACGCTGCGCCACGAAGCTGGCCACCAGAGTTCGTCTCCCGATCACGGCCAACACCACCGGTGACGATTATCTGAGCCGGTTCTGGGCCTCCCCTCCGTCGGCTCGGCCTCAAGTGAGTACCTGGTGCGGTGTGTCGTGAACATCGTCACTGGGGAGACAAAGGCGGCCGGGCTTGGTGTTGGCCGTGCCCGCCTTCATATGTGCAACTCGCTAACAGCACTTGCCCCAACAGTTTGTTAGAAGCTATACGGGGGAGTCTTTGTCTTGTATAATCGTGCGGCTCTTAGATATTTACCTGAACCATTTATCGAAAAGTAAATATTATCTTCGACAAGTCATTGGTTTATTCATAAGCCGGGTTTTGGTCGATGAGTTAAACGCGTTGATGGTGCCAATGAACTGATCTGTGGAGTTGCTCCTTGCCACTGATGAAGCACACGACATCATCACCTCGCCTTGCCTCGTCACGGAGCGTGAACCGTCGGTCACGCGAGCTCCCGGCGGTCATCGCTCGCAGCATATTTATGTTTTAGCTGCTCGCCGTCGAACAAAGACGGCAGATGCGCTTCTGCGGCCGTCTGGAACGTTCTTTCCTTCCGATATCAGGAAGCCACGGGGGAACTATGCACCTCTAAATCATCCAGATTGAAAACTCGTTTCTTCAAACTACCGTGTAGTACATATTCTTAGCTCTTTCGGTAAAGTCACGTTGAAGGGAAACAATAAAATATATATAAAACAATACAAATTCTCACGACGTTTCGACCATAATACAAACGGTGTTAAAGACATGGCGTTTGGTTTCTCCAATTGGAGAAACCAAACGCCATGTCTCGGACCGCATTTGTGAACACAAAGCAGACCTTAAACACGGTAGGACCAACACCTCGGCCGTGGCAGATCATTGTTATAATTCAGTAGGCTCACATGACATTGACTTCTCCAAGACAGAGGTTCTTTGTAAGCCATCTGGCTACCATGAGAGATTCGTTCATGAGGCTATGCACATATACAAGCACAGAGACAATTTCAACCGAGAAGATGGATTCTGGCTTAGCAATCATTGGAAGGATTTGATCAACCATTTCAGGTCTTAATTGATTGTTCACGCTTACGGTGGCTTTCAGACAGCATACATTCATTTTTCGTCTCCCCCCTCCTCTTTTCAGAACATAGATGGACTCGTCCATCTAAACAAACTGCCAAATCGCTGCCCATGGCGCTAACGTTTTTTATAAATAAATAAATACACCGTTTAAAAATAAATAAATGCAAACCGACACTTCTTTCAAATGTTTCTTGCCGTTGGCTTTCACACCTGATGATGACTGTTTGTGTTATGGTCGAAACGTCGTGAGAATTTGTATTGTTTTATATATATTTTATTGTTTTATTGTTTCCCTTCAACGTGACTTTACCGAAAGAGCTAAGAATATGAATTACTGCAGTCACGAAAGCTTTAAATAAAAATGTACTGTGTAGTAGTTTGATGTCCGATTTAGCGCGGTTGGCCTACGTGCGGTGCGAAAGAAGTTCAACATACAGGACATAAGGTACATTTTACTGAACCAGCCTGACCGAAAAAAAACAATTGTGCGTGACAAGTTCATCTTGTTATCGATAATTGCCAATTGATTAAAGATTTTTCGTTGAAGAGTCGTATAACAACATTATATTTTTGGGTCTTTCGGTAAAGTCACGTAGATAGGTTAAAAGAAAACACATTTTAAAAACCACGGTCGGTCTTGTGTTGCGATCGAAACGTAGAATTATGAATTCCTTTAGTCACGAAAGCTTTAAGTCAACATTAGGATTCACGAGCATAGTCTATTTTTTTAAATACCAATTGAATGAACGTGTGAACTCTTATCCGTTACACATTGCTGGTCGTTTCCACTTGGGCCTGCGCTCAGCAACCGTCATAAAGGACCGTCCATAAATGACGTCACGCGATGTTTGACCCCCCCCCCTTGTCTCACGGCGTCACAAAAAATTAGAGCCCCCCTCAAATATGACGTCACAAAGCTCTGCCCCCCCCCCCAAAAAAAACACGTTTCAAATCGCTTTAAACTATTGTCATTGTACTGCGTATTTAATGTGGCGCTGCACTCTGATGTTGTAGGAGAAAACATTTTTTTAAAAGTATATTTAATTAAGTAGAACGTGTTGTCTACGTTTATTTATAAAGTTGCGCATTTTGATGTGACGTCACATTTCTCAAACAACGTCACAAATGTCTGACCCCCCTCTCCTCCTCTCCCCAGGCGCGTGACGTCATTTATGCACCTCCCCTAAAAAAAAAAACCACAACCCGCCACTGACACGCGATGTTGAACTTCTTTCGCACCGTACGTTAGCCAACAGTGCTCATCGAAGGTCCGACATTGGAGTCCCAACACCACAGGTGCCACCTCGTCCAATATCATCAACTGCACGTCGTCCAACCTTCGTTGTTAAGCCAGGCCCTGCCACCCTGGGCCGTCATGTCATTGGCGTTTAATGGACATTTGTTTCCAGCTACCAATTGTGGGATACGTTGGTGTTCACACAACCATAACCGGGGCGTGTTCCTGCTGTTACTGTGTGGGTTTTTAAAGAAAAAAAAGATATGTGGGCATTATACATCACATTAATCTCGCCTCCACAGATTCTCATTGGATATACTAAGCATTCAAATAAGTGTCGGTTTTAAAAAGAGCCAACAGGCTTACCGAGTGCTTTCCATGGGCAAATGTTATTGACGTTCATCCAAAAAGACGTGATGTGTTCTCTCCGTGAGAACACATCACGTGTTTTCACTATGAGACATTACCACGGCTTACCAAAAGCCCCAGATATGTATAGTTGTCTGGGCAACATTGGCAAATATATATACTTTCGAAACGTGTTTTTTTCTTTGTTTTACCGCCAATGTAATGTTGCAGTGCATACTGACGCATTTAGAAACACCGCACGAGAGCGCGCATTGGAGCAAGCAGGCTGCTACAAGGGGCCGAACATAAATGACGTCACGCACCTGGGGAGGGGGGGGGTCAGACATTTGTGACGATGTGTGACGAGAGGGGGTGGGGGGTGAGAAATGTGACGTCACATCAAAATGCGCAACTTTAAATAAATATAGACAACACGTTTTACTTAATTAAATAGACTTTTTAATAAATGTTTTCTCCTACAACATCAGTGTGCAGCGCCACATTAAATAGCATTACAATGACAATGGTTTAAAGCTATTTGAAGCATGTTTTATATATTTGGGGGGGGGGGGGGCAGAGCTTTGTGACGTTATATTTGAGGGGGGGGGTCTGACTTTTTGTGACGTCGTGTGACGACGGGGGGGTCAAAAATCGTACAAAATCGCATGACATCATTTATGGACGGCCCCCCAATGCGGGCGCGTGTGTCGTGTTTTCCGTGGTCAAAATGCGTTCCACACAAGTGTCATGACAATGGGGTCTGCATGCGATTTGAGTGGACTAGTGGCCACGGGAGGTAATGACAGGGGAGTCAGTTGTGGGTGCGAAGGGACTGGTGGCTCCGGGAATGATCGAGAAGGGGGCGTGGTCAGGTGACGGAAAATTACGGTGGAGTCTGTCGGTGGAGCGAGCGTCCAGAGTCAGCGAGAATGATCGAGAAGGGGGGCATGGCCTCGGTTGGTATATAAGGGAGATGTACGGGAGACTTGGGGCTGTTGCAGTGGGGATCCCCGCCTAGTGTCAAGTGAACGCGTCTTCAATAAAGTGCCATCTCAAGAGAAGTGTGTCCAGTCGTCATTACACAAGCGGCCAAATCCCCTGCCGTATTGGAGACTCGCCTAATTGACCGGTTTGTCAGTCGGAATAGTGCGCTATTTGAGCTCACTGTTCAGATATATTTTTATCTGGATAAGAGTTGTTGGATTCGTGTCCTATATCCAATATAGCAGAGGGTTTTATTTGCCCGTAAAATAATGAAAGCCCCCTCAATCCATTATTTTGCTTTCTACAGTTTGCTTGCCCACACATAATTAAGGTTAAGAGATGTAGGTGAATCGTGTCTTTGTCAAAACATTAATGATAGTATTATACAATTGTTGAGATATATTACCGTAGCCTTATAATGTTAACGGCAATTCAACGAACCCTTTAATATAAAGCGCATTTATTTGGCCAATATAAAGAGTGAACAGCTGACAATCAGGGCACATTTAGCACTCAAACCCAGTCCACACCTGAATCAAAACTCTGCTTTAAGGTAGCTCTGAATCGACGGCGTGAACTGAGGCAGAGCCATGGAAATAATCCCAAGATTTAGCGCAAGAAAATGTTTCACTTGACCAGGCTTATCTGGTGGCGCAAGCCTGCAAATCCAGCCCTTTGGGGGCAAAGTTGACGGACCATGGAGACATTCGCACTCTGCGAGCGGAGGATCTCTCTCGCGAGCCCCTTGCAGTGTGAACCCTACCACCTGCTTCCACCCCTGAATGACCGACTCGTTTTCCAGGGTCGCTGGTTACCCCGACAGGAGTTCTGCCCCTGGGTCGAGTTCTTTCAAAACGGACGATAGTGGCCTTGGTCTACAGAAACCGAAGCCCCCTTTGCGGTCATGATCTTATATTCTTGGTTCTTTCGGTAAAGTCACGTAGAAGGGAAACAATAAAATAATAAAAATATAAAACAATAAAAATTGTCACAACGTTTCGACTGCAACACAAGCAATCATCAGGTGTGAAAACCACAGCAAGAATATTTTTTTTTCAAATTTTCTTGCTGTGGTTTTCACACCTGATGATGATTGCTTGTATTGCAGTTGAAACGTCGTGAGAATTTTATTTGTTTTATATTTGTATTATTTTATTGTATCCCTTCTACGTGACTTTACCAAAAGAACCAAGAATATGAATCCCTACAGTCACGAAAGCTTTAAATCAAAGGTCATTATCTTGTTCCTCTCGCGCCTCCGCGGTCCTTTTCCAAAAAAAGTCGACCTTCAAAAGGGTGACGCTTTTCACCGACCGCAGAAATTTAAACCTCCTCTGCCACTGGGCTCGTCGCGTATCCACAGAAGATGCCATGCCACGCGCCTGGCGTTCCAATTCACTCGGGTCTAACCCGGTGGTCTTGTGCATGACACGCCAGCTTTAGGTCATCACACACCGTCAATTGAATACTGTTAGCCCAGGGCTGAAGGTGTTTCATATTTTTTAGCACCACAAAAACTGTTTGTGAGTCTCTCCGACTCGTGTCTGACCATGTCTGGCATTGACCAAGCAGGCGGTCTGCTTTCAGCATCGAGGGATTGTTTTTTGTCCCGCCCTTTATCCTTTGCCACCTCCTGCGCAAGGTCACACGATTAACGTCCCCACGAAAAAAATCCCTCATTGGATCTCTCACCCCTTGACGAGCAACACTCTCCCTCTTCATGGTGGAGTTACTGCCCTATGTCTTTTTAGCCGGAGTGGACTCCTCTTCAGAGTCCTTATCCATCTCGCGAGCCCTAAGCCCCTTTTCTTTAAGGCGTTGAGGACTGCTTAAGGTCACTACCCGGATTGGTCACACCAGGCCTGGTCCTTGCTCGGAGGTCAAGAAGGTTCAGGATCCTACCTCCCACACCCGGGACCATCTCAAGGTTTTCAGACAGTAACCTCCCCTGAGCCTCCTCAAGGCTATCCTGCATTCCTCACACTTGGAAGCACGTGCTGCCGTGTTCTCAATTTTCCACCAACGCTTGGCGTTTTTGATTACACGTCCTTAACGGACTTTACAGCCGAATTTTCTATTTATATTTTTGACCACAGTGACTGCCTCTTTCACGCCAACGTATAATGTCACAAATGTTACTATCGGACATTCCGCCTCTGCTAAATACACCCCGAAATGCAGGAGCACAAAAAATTCGGACGCCCTGCCCCACATTTTTTTTTTAACACCGAGAGAAATTAGTTTCAACACGAGCTGCACCAACTGAGCACATTCTCTGTATGGGGTTGCGTTGCGTTTGCTTGGAAGCGTTCACCTTCAAGTGAAGTGCTGTTAACAGCTCAAAGTGCCTCGCCTTCCCTCCGTAGGGGGTGCCGCTTTGGCGAGATGTTAACTACTTCGCCTGGTATACAGGAGGTCGTGTGTTGTATCTTTGTGTGCGTCTCTCTCATCATCATCACGGTGGCTAGATGTTAACTACCTCGCCTGGTATACAGGAGGTCGTGTGTTGTATCTTTGTGTCTCTCTCATCATCATCACGGTGGTTAGATGTTAACTACCTCGCCTGGTGTACAGGAGAATTCGTGGGTTAAATACCGAACCCGACACCTACTGTATATTTTGAGTTTGCATGTTCTCCCCCGTGGCCGCGTGGATTTTTCTCCAGGTCCTCCAGTTTATCCCTCGACATTGAGAATTAAAATCACGCGTTTGGAGTATTCGGCTGCTATAAATGTCGACGCGATGAGCTACTTCCGTTGGACTATCGTTTGTGGCCAGGTCGCTCCTGAAAAAAAGTGAAAGAGCTCAATCTAAAGAATAAAATCTCCGCGAGCTTTTTCATTGGCGATGGCCTGCGTATCGCGCTTGTTGACAGTTTTTTGGGTGGCCAGCACAGGGCTGGTGGTGTTCAATGGCACGAAGATATCATCAGTGTGTCTTTCGGCGACCATCCTATGAACGTGCAAAAAAACGACACTTGCCTCGATTCATATACTGTACTCGGGGATGGCCATTTGTCTTATTTATTGAGACAACATTACAGAGCCCTTGATAAGATACATGTTATAGGCTTAAACCTGGATGAAATCCAACCATACTGTTTTATCATATAAGGAAAACATGTTTTGTCCAATGTACTACGTAAGTTTATATAACAGTTGTGTAGAAAATAATAATAAAAAAACCGAGCATGTTCACAGTGGCTTGATGAGACAAATAAATAATTCGTTAAGCACAAACCATTACGATTAAGCAGATATATGTTGCTCTACAAGGCCCGTTGGTATGCATGCACGTGGAATTTAATTATGTACCTTTATTTCAAAGCTTGAATCAACGTATTCTTTATCAGAATTGGTGGTTAAATGCATGCATACCAAGAAGTCTGCCGACTTAAAACAGCCACCTTAAAAAAACACAATTAAGTCAAGCTTAACAAGCCTTAAATAAATACAGCAATAAAGTATTTGAATTTCTGAAGGATAATTATGTTTTATATCGACTCTTTAACTAAAGCTAGACAAAATTATGCTAAAGTTCTGCTATAAATTAGAAGTTCATGAAATCACCGTGTTTTATCAGTATTTGTTAAACCAGTAAACATTTGCTTCCTGTAAATACAAGTAATTATTTTGGCATTTATTTTGACAATTCAAGAATTTAAACAATGCTGAGAAGGGCTTACACACATTGCAGGCCACAATTCATGTTATGGGTCAACTTTAAGACGCAAACCACAGACCTAAGGAAGAGTGTGTAAAAGAGAAAAATAACAAATCAATTGCAGAAGAATTAAGGATTATGAAAACACCCTTCCCAGCTCAAACTTAAATCCTCACGCTTCAAAATAACGCAAATGCAATGATGTGTAAAATCATTACTTTAATATTTGTATGCGATTTAATTGTATTTTTTTTAAAAATCTCAAAACACTGTTTTGCACCCACACAGCTAAGATTGGCGGAAGATATATTTAATAGTGGTACATTTATTCAAGAAAGTCAATAAATACACTTAACACAAGGCCAGTTAATCAATGCCAATAGTAGCCGGCACACTGTATAGAGAGAAAATAAAATATTCCATCAGGGTTTTATGATGCCCTATTCACGGGTAGACCGGTTATAACTTTTCATTTCATGGAAGTCTTTTGTTGAACACAATATGGACACAAGAGTGCTTACTACGCTCTATGCCTCGCAGCTCAATTATCATACATGATTATAACGCCTGCGTTTACACCGCGGTGCGATTCTTGGATATTCTTGTGTGGGCTCCACGGATTACGCAGTCTGGAAACGTGAAAGGATGATGCGCCAGCCTATTGCGTTGGGCAGTTACAGCCATAACGTGTTTAACATTGGTGGCTAAGCCAGCGACACGTGCCACAAACCCCAGGAGGTGGCCAAACGAGTGATTATACGAATGCAACTACGAACGGCAGGCGGACGGCGCGGACGCGTACGCGCAAACGGAATACGGCAGCGTGACCACAGCGCTGTTGTGCCAACGCGCGCAACTGTGCAAGGGAGCTGTAGTGGGGGAATCAGGAGGGGGTGGGGGGCTATAGTGTTCACACATTCAGAAAAATCCCTGCTCTGACGGTCTCATTTACAGTATATTACAACGCGTGGGGGTTAGTGTGGGCGACGACGAGGTATAAGAACCACCGTACTCGGGGTGGGGACCCTTAGCAAGGACCCTGCGACCTCCACGGCCACTGGCAGTCGGCGTCGCAACTGCCGGGCCATGGAAAGCGGGCGCAGCACTCGATGAGCTAGGCCCAAAACACGTGGAGCTTTATACAAAAGACGGCTTCACAAGGTTTCGGATGCCCTCGTTTGAAGGACTTCACACCCCTTGGCAAGTTTTACAGTGTAGGCACTTGAATGTGAGAATGAAAATAACGAGGTTGCAATTTTTATTTTATACACATGTCCACATCCAAGAATTGGTTTTTATTTTCCTTTTCTTGAAAGTGGATGAAGATTGATTTTACGTTAAAAAGTCCGTTTATCGGTGTACCATTATACCTGCGCGCATGAGTCACCGTTCAGTACAAAGTACACAAAAACACTGCCTAAAATAAACTAAATATACATGTATTCAAACAGGTTGTTGTCATCATCACATTAATAATGGTAAAAAGCCAAAACCATATGCAAATTATTTGATTTCAAAAAATCCCAGCATCTTATCATTAGCAGTTTTGTTTTCATTGTAACTGTACAGTATCGTGAAACCTGCCGATATGGACTGCCTGCGCGCGACTGAGACACGGCGCACGATGTGAAGTCCTCGGTGAACGTTGTCGCTTTTCGCTCACCAGACAGGCCACACCAGAAGAAAATAAACAAATGAAACATTTCATTATTCCAGTTAGAATTACAGAATTTGCGTTGACTGTAATTACAGTGATTAGATCTTTGACCGTAACAAAAAAAATACGCAACATTTTCCAACCTTTTTTGGAAGATATTACTTTGTAAAATGTAAGTAGCGTACTTAAATTTTACAAGAATAACAACAGCAATAGAAAAAAAAAATCCGCTGCAAAACCGTACGTAGCACGACCGGCTAAGTACGGTGCGCGAAATAAGTTCTACATACACACATACGTACGTTCAAGGATCTAAATAACTTAGTGCACAATCTGTACCGGCGTGCATGTGCCAGGGCGGACACCCCCCCCCCACATCCCCCCCCCCCACCGCGTGCACTCAAATGTTGGTCCTGGGGTGCGTCGCTCTCAGTCCCATCGCGGCACAGATGCTTTCGGGGAGGTATGGATAAATGGCCGCCTGTGCTCCCCCGCCGCCACTTCCACCGTAAGCCCCCACGGGCAGGAAGGACATGCGCGGCAGAGCTCCGTACACGTGCACCGCCGACTGCGAGTAGCCCTGCAGGCCCGCTCCAAACACCGAGTGCGCGGCCTGCTGCTGCCGTTGTTGCTGCTGCTGCTGCTGCTGGTGGTGCTGGTGCTGCTGCTGCTGCTGGTGGTGGTGCTGCTGGTGAGCGTGCAGCGGCAGCCGCGACTGCGTGCCCTGATCGGCGTGCACGCGAGCGCTCAGCCCTTCCGGGTGCGCCAGGTAGAGCGGAGGCGGCGGCGGCGGCGGCGGCGGCGGCGACAGGAACGGCCGGCCCCCGGCCGTCACGGAGAACGCCCGAGGCTCGGGCGCGCGGCACGACGCCGGCTCCTCGTGGCCGTGGCTCGCGAGCGGCGGCGGCGGCGCCGGCGCCGGCGGGGATGGCGGGCGTCGCGTCGGCTGCTTGTGCGGCGGCTCGCCCTCGGCTGTCCTCGCGGGATACGAGGCCGCGGGCTTCCCGTCGTCCTCGTGCCGCTCCTTGCGGGCTTCCACCTTGGTGTACGGTATCACCTTGTTCACCCTGTTTGCAGGCGCGACCGTGCTATTGCCAATTTGTCCTTCCCCAGCTTTTTCAGGTTTCACATGAAGCTGCTGCTGCTGCTGCTGCTGGAACAAGGACGTGGCTGTACATCTTGTGATCTCCCAGCACTTCTGCTGCCCTGGGCTGGAATAATGGTTCTGCATGTGCTGCGGTGCAGGGCTCGGCGAGCCGTAGCGAAAGTTGTGGTGGCTCACCTGCGGCGAGAGAGACGTAACGACGGCGTCTCCCACAGCCCGACCGTGCTCTCGCGCCCTGGTTGCCTGCTGGCCGCTAGCGCCAGCAGCGCATGACCCGTTATGATCCAGAGCCAACAGAGACGAGCCAAAGCAGTTTGTGCCATCCTTGGCTTCACGTGAACCTGGGTTATGCGAGAGATCAATTGGCAGGCACACCGGCCGCTGCTCATCTCCTCTCATGGACGAGCTCAGGTCCAAAGCCATCACGCTCGCGGCGTGCGCCGAGTGGCGCCTCGGTGTCTCCATCCACTGTGACGGCTTCAAGAGCCCGTTGACGGTGTGAAAGTTTGCCAGCCTGGCTGGGACCCCCGTAGGCATGGAACATCGTCTCGCCGTCGCACCCCCTTCTCTTGATGTGCTCGGTGTCTCAAGAGAGGGGCACAAAGGCTGCACGGCCTCCACTTTGTGTTCCGGAGGCGACGGTGGGGATCCCGAGCACCCCTGTCTTTCCCGAGCACGTTGGGTTTCCGAACCCTGGCAGCGGGCGGGGCTTACGTCGGGCGTTTTCTTGAGACACACGGGCACCGCGGGGGCACCCCCCCCGACCACCGCCACCACCGCGGCCACCGCCATCACCCTCGTCGCATCCGTCTTCTTGACGCTCAGGTCCAGCGGCTTCTCGTCGGCGTTCGAAGCGGCCCTGGCTTCCGCCACCGCGCCGAGTCCGGCGTGGGGGCGGTTGAGCAAGAACACCCCGTCGTGGCGGGTGCCCATCAGGGCCAGCGGCGAGGGCAGGGGCACGCGGACCGTGGACGATCGTGCCTCGTCCGCGCTGACTGGGCGAGATACCCCGTTGTTGGCCTTGGAGAGCTCGAGGAAGTGGCGGTAGGCGGGCTCCGACATCTGCTTGCTCATGTAGTCCAGGTAGCTCTTCTGCTGAGCGGGCATCGAGTCTTTGAGCTGGCAGTTGATGAGCGTGATGTGGCCCAGTTCGGGGTCCAGGAGCGGCTTGAGCTCGATGGCGATGGGCGCGTTCTTCTTGATTTGAGACGGAGGCGCCTGCGTGGTGGGGATGACCGACAGCACTGTCCTCAGCTTCAGGTTCCCGTTCTTGGCGGTGGCCGTGAGTTCGGGCTTCTGTGGATCCTCAGGCTTGAGTCGCCCTTTGCTGGACAACAGCTGTTTGAGAGGACGAACAGAAGGGGGAAGTGCGGTATCAGCATCACAGCATGATCACAGTGTATTCTTTTGTACGTGCGTTTGAATGAACGTGGCCTGATATTCAACTTCCACTTGATGTGTCAATTCACATTTTTTTTTTTACTGGCTATGTTTATTAAATGTGTGAATCGATACAAATTTAAAGCCACGCAAAATCACACAGGATGCAAAAACTTTCTAAACTAACTTTAACGGGGTTCCACTATTTTTATAGTCAAAAGCTTGCTGCTAAATATACCACTTTCTAATAACGCAATCGTGTATTAGTGGACTCACAAATGGAATGCGGTGTGTTCATGTCTGGGCAATCTAACGCACCATCTCTCCAGGGCAGATAAAAATAGCTCTCTTTCGTTTAAGTCCACATTGGCCTCAACTTTGGAAAACGTGGAATTTGCACAAGTTGACTCTGGGCTATCAACGGCCCATGCACATTTGTGTACGGAGACTTTAAGCAATTATTTGAAATTTAATACAGCTTTTTAAGTTACACATTACGAAGACGTTAGCCACTGTGTCAAGGCAAAAAAAGTTTAAGCAAATGAATGACGAACTAAAATCAATGAGTGTGTGATTATAATAGACCAGTGTTTGTTGTATGGAGGCACGTTGCGTTGTTGGGGGGATGTTTTCAACCTGTAAAGCCGGTCATCCTCGCAGCGACTTTGGCTGCTAGCCATCGAACAAAAACGGTCACCGCATCGCGCACTTTCAGATGCACTTCTGCGACCGTCTGGAACACTCGTCCTGCCAATATTGGGAAGCCACTCGAGCTATGCACTTTTAAATCTAGATTGAAAATTCATTTCTTAAGAACTGCTTTTTGCGTTTAATTTGATGTCCCTCCCGCGCACCTCCGATTAGCGAGATTGGCGAGATTGGCTACGTACGGTGCGAAAGAAATTCAACATACATGTATACACACATATATATAAGGCAATTGAACAAAGCCATCATGGGGCTCTCACGGTACGGGTGGGTTTTCCCACTGGCAAAACGCCATGCCGGGCCATCACCAAACCACGCTACGCTGGCTTCACAGGATCTCCCAGCCGGATGACACGTCCGATGTGAGTGACGACAGGCGGTGGGGTGCACTGCGAGGGCACGACGTCACTGCATCGTTGTCTACAATGCGTTCTGACCTCGCACGTCCGCGCGCCCGGGGCCCTTCTAATCCACGATGGCTCGTCTAGGCATGGCGCAGAATCGAGTATGGTTTGTATTTGCTTCGGCACATGATGCTCCATGGCAACGCGTGATAGGTTTGGGAACATTTTTTTAATTTGGCTGGACCCCATATTTAATATGGCGTATTCTTGCCAATAACATCTGACAATACGGCAAAATTCCTGTAACAAGCCTGACTTGTGATGAGATCCCCCATCCAGGTCACGAGCGGAGAAATACTTGCTCGAACAAATTTATCGCTCGATAATATTGGTTCGGAAAGTCAATAAATATTGGTTTCGCGAACTCATTTTCTTTTGTCCCGCGCAGTTCACACGCGTAAAGTGAGAATGCGGCTATGTTCACATCTGCCGTCTCTCCCGCACGGGAGCCCGGCTGCGGCGAGGGCGGTCACCTTCTTGCCGTTGCCTTGGGCCGAGTCCTTTTTGCTTCTCTTCTCTTGGCCACAGCCCCCCTTGCCGCCGCCGTCGTCGTCGTCCCCCCCCGACGTGAGCGCCGCGCTGCCGTCGGCGGCGGCGTCGCCCTCCTTGCCCGTGCCGTGCCGCTTGCGGGGCCGCGGCGGAGGCGGCGGCCGGTCCTCCTCCCCCCGCACGTAGCGCTCGTACGGCAGGATCAGCCTGCGGGGAAGGGAGCGGACAGAGCGTCGCGCGGAGGCGTAGAGGGTGGCGGTTGGGGAGGGTCGGCATGGGGGGAGGGGGGGCACGATGACGGTGAAAACCAGAAGGAAATGTAGAAAAAGCTCGACTCGGCTGCATTTTTTCTAATTAATTGGGCTTTCAGTTAAACGCGAGGTTATCTGGTGCAACGGTTAGACCGCATGTTCAAATCCCGGTCGGGGATCGACAACCCATCATTTCTCTCAGATCAATAAACATGAGTACCGCTTTGTGGGAAGTCAACGGTGGTTGTTTTAACTAAGCCTGGCTCCGGCTTACAGGGAAGTAGAATGTCCACCACTGGCTTAGGGCTGTAAACAAGAAGATAAGCACGGGGCCCGGCTTGTGAGAGCAGGAAACCACTCAGTATACTATTACCCGCCCTGATTGCGACCATTAACACGGAGCGATCGGCATCGAGGCTTTTCAACGGCGACTCGGTGATCGGGACAGAAACGTATATTCGAGCGGGCCGCGGGGGGGGGGGCGGGAGGCGCGACGCAGAGCCCCCCATTTCATTCGGGCGTTCGTCCGCATCGGCCACCGCAGCAACGCACCTCTCGTAGTGGCGGCGGGTGCAGGTGGCGGCGCTGGTGCTCCCCGAGTCGCCCCCCAGCTCATCGTACACCACCTTCCACAGCCGTTGTGTGGTCACCTGCGGCACAACGGGCGGACCGGGAGCTCGTCATGCGGCAAACCCTCCCCGGGGGCCGCGGCGGAGCAAAACCAGACTCTTGACGGGGAGGCTCGCGACTTTCGAGCCACCGCTCCGGGGGATTGACCGCAATGGGCACCGTGTTTGCGACAGGGCACCGTCAGTGCTGCTGTGGGAGCGACTGTCCTGCGCGTACGTAGGGATGTGGAATGTACAGCGATTGCTCAGGGCTGCCAATGGAGATGAGCACCGCACCACTTTGTCTTGGACCGATCCTAGAGAATCGTCCCCTTGCGGTGATACTCGGTCAACTGAAGCACATCACGCAGGACCCTTCCACCAACATCCAAATCTAATGATTTGGATGTTGGTGGATTGCACACCACCGGACACGGGAAAAACCTTGAGACTTGGAACACCCACCTTGGGGCAATGAGGCACCTATAGCAGGCAGTACAGCAAATAGACTGCACACCTACATTTTGATTTAAAGCTTTCGTGACTGCAGGGATTCATATTCTTGGTTCTTTCGGTAAAGTCACGTAGAAGGGAAACAATAAAATAATAAAATTATTATGTTTATATATATTTTATTGTTTCCCCTCTACGTGACTTTACCGAAAGAACCAAGAATAAGAGTGCACACCTGTCTGTGCAGAGTTTGAGTGTCAGGAGAGTTAGATACTCATGTGTGCATGGGATGTCTATGGGGCATTCTGGAATCCTTCTGCGTAATAAAATCCCCACAGACGAAGTGAAAGGGAGTCCCCCCCCCACGAGTCCAGGAACACTCCCAGTCTGCACACCACTCCCGTATGAGGCCAGCTCCTCCTCCAGCGACTCCTCTTCTCTCGGAGCCCCGAGCTCTCGACCCACACCCCGTGTATCCATCCGCTCACTCCCCACCTTCAAGAACCTTTCACAAGTTCCCCCACCCCCTCAGTGCCCCAACCACCCCTCCCCTTCTCCTTATTTCCCATCACATATCTCTTCTTTGGGTTTCCTCCAATCCCCAGTCTCCTTTTTTGCGCCTTCATTCCCACCGTTATCTTTAATTGCTGACCTCGTCAAGGAGCACAAACCATCACGTGACCTCCGGTCATCCTCGCAGCGGTTTTTGACTCCCCATCGAACAAACACGGTCAGTGCATCGCGAGCTTTCAGATGCGCTTCTGCGGCCATCTGGAACACTGTTCTTTCTGATATTCACATTAATCTAGATTGAAAAATAATTTATTTTGAGCTGATTTTTGTGTTTAGTTTGTCGTATTTCCCCCGCATCTCCGATGAGCACGATTGGCTATGTACGGAGCAAAAGAAGTTTAACATTATTTCTCTTGGGTGTCGTTCCGCGTGACCCCGCCTAACCTGAGCGTGACCCCGCATGACTTCATTGCTACCTGCAAGACCTTGACATTAGGATACCAAAGACCCCACACGCAGGACCCTTCTGAAAACAAGCCTTGAGACTTGGTGAGGCTTTCATTGGTAAACAAACTCGTGAAAAAATTGGCTTTTTTTTACTTGCTTTTAAAATGTTGAATACAAAACGTTTACAGCTGTCACCACAAACAAAACGGAAAATCAGACGGCACAAATTAATCGTTAGGCACGCAGTATCGAGCACGCACAGCTGATGGGAGTCGGTGAATTGGTGCCCTACTTTTAGCAAATTCTGCAGAGAAACATTGGTCTGAAAGAGGGCCCTTGGGCAGGTGTATTACATATTGCATTATTATTATTATTTATGTTATATTTATATTATATTATTATTTATATTGTTATTTATATTATTATTTCTGACCTAGAGTATTAGTTTTAATTGCAATCTTTTGCTTGAGGGGCACAATTAAATATTTTTAAAAAGTCAACGTTTCAGGCAAGGTGCTGTGTACGCAATTTGTTTTCGCGTTTATAAAGCAGTTTTGATGATGGAAAGTATTTTAGGTTGTGACTGGGGCCTATTCAACTTTTGTCGATCCGTTTGAATGACTAATTTCTACGGGCAATGTATCATCATTCATAATAAATCGGGGAAATTATATGGCAGTCCAAAGCAGACTCTATATGCCTACTACTTTACACAGACACAAGAATATAAAAACCCTCATTTCTTTAAATGTATTCAGTTGCTTACAAAAATGTGTCACTTTGTTAACATGCGTATTTATATATAAATATGCGAATGTGTTATTCCGGTTTCTTCCTACATGCATGAAGAAAATAAACAAATCACTCATCATCTAACATCCCAAGGGAGGGCCTGACTAAAAAAAATGTATCTAGATTGATTCAACCTTTCCTGGGTAAACAAGAAAAAATCAGCTATGAGCCCAATGACGTCAGTGGTGAGCGATACCTGAACCAGTTCTGGGCAGCCGTCCTTCATCAATCCCGCACAGGCCAGTGCGGTGAAGTATGGTCCAACAACGGTGTGAGAAGGCCTTCGTCCAGCAGTGCATCGACAAAGGGCTGGATATGACACTTGTCTTTTGGCTTGTGTGAATTTTCTGTGGGATATGGCTGGGTGGTTTTGAATGCACCAGCAATACTCCATTGTGAACATTACAAAAATAAATCTATGATCTGACAACTAGAATGTTTACTTACAGAATCATATCCTCCAAGCTGTTGTGTTGTCTTGAACATAATCCAAAGGTTAACTGGAACAAAAAAAAACAGACGTATGTTACCACACATTTACCGACCACTGTACAAAGCTACACATTTTACAGCGTTTCATTCAGGTCAGTATTAAAATTACACGATTTGGGTGAAACTTTACAATAGTTTGTTTTTATCCAGCGTTATTCGTGCAAAGTTTAATTCTTAACATTTTGATCCCCCCCCCCCCCCACACACATACACATTCCGAAATCTCAAATACGAACATCGTAAACGAGGTGCGAGAACAGCGGAGACAAACAACGTGACTTTACCGAAAAAACTAAGAATAGGAGCACCGAGTCGACCGTAGCGTGGAACACGTGGGGCAACAATCAACTACTCAACACTCAAGAAAGTCCAGGGTACAACGATAGCAATAATTGGATTTCATACATACATCTGTGATTGAGAACAATAACAAAACAGATTGGTTGGTGGTGCTCATCTCCACTGGCAGCCTTGAAGCAGTCAGGAAAGTTACACATTAGTTTGGCACGATCCAGTCCATCGATAAGGCAACCCACTACACCGGCCTCCCCGCAAAGAGGTCCTCGTTTTGTCAACCACAATTAGGTGATGGGCTGAGTTGACACCTGAAAACGGAGTGAATTCACATCCACATGAACTAGAGCCAAGCACTGTAAACACAGCATGACTCAGGCAGATAATCCTTAAATTGGACCAATAAAGAATTGTAGTGACAGAGCGCCAGCATAATAAAAAAAATTTAAATGTATGCATTTCAATTTTTTTAAAAAGCAGTAACAATACACCAGCTAACTAACGTACCGCTACTGAACTAACGTACGAACCTATTAGCCACCAAATAAAACAAATATGAGCGGACATACTACTCACGCTTGGCAAAACATATGCAGTGGCATTCACAAACGCCTCACGAAGAACTTTGCAAAACCGGCACGAATCCAATTCTAAACAGGTCCCTGCAGGGTGGGCTGGTAGGAACATTGGCAAAGTAACGTCGCGGTGCCTTCAAACTTTGCCTCGCAAATGGTATTCGGCTGTGGGCTGTGTGTGAATTTGCCACATCCCCAAAAGTGAAGTTCGCAAATGAGATAACGTGACTTCCAAATGTTGGGTGCAATAAGACATATCAAGTCTCTGTGCTGTCTATTGCTGATTTTACACCCAACAGCACGAGATTTCACTTCGTTAAAGTATTGAAAGGGGACGGACGGACACATTAATCTATTGCAGGCTGGTACACTCCGTTTACAACTTCGTTCCTACCAGAAAAAGAAAACTATATATATAAAAATAACAGTAAAACACAATGACTGAACCCAGACACAGAACTCAAAACACGTCCGTAAACCGCGCGAGAAGTGTAAGACCTGCAAGAATGTAAAAATCTGGCGTACGAGCGGCTCGTCATTGCGCGGCCGGTTGCTCGAGCAGGCGCTCATCGCGCACGCCCGCGACGTGCTACAATTTTAGACGCGCGCTCTCGCAAGCGGTCTTATCGTGCGCGCGTGTTTGCGCGCTCCCCTAAGTTGACTTCACCAAGAAGAAGAAGAAAAAAATTTATTCCAGCAGCAGTGTCCTCAAGATGCGCCTCATTAAAAAGCAATGTCACCAAGTAAAGAACGTATAGGGCATAACAATGTTTACGGAGGCATCCTGTCGTGTACAAAAATAACATATCATTAGCCGAGACTTTATGGCTGCGTCAACAAACGCAGCCACACACACGCATGCACAGCTGCTTTGCTATTAAAAAAATTTAAATAGGGGCTACAGGTCAAGTTGCAGTGGGTCGATATCCAGCCAAGTAGACATCTCGACACAAAAATCTGGCATCGGATACGTACGCAGGGTCAGCCGATTAAAGTCTACACATTAACATTGTAAGAATGTATTACAGAGGACGGCATTGTTGAAATAATGGTCTGATGCGTGGATGTGAGCCACTAAAGGCCGTCTCGTTAATATTAATGCAAAGGTCAAGAGAGGTCACCGTGCCCATTGCTCTTAGTGCCTCAGGTCTGCCATTGTTATATTTTGACCATTTGGCTCAGGCTTTCCAGAGGACGCGACGAAAATGTCCATCTCGGTAACACTACCCCCCTCCTCCGCCTCCTCCTCTTCCATCCGGAGGTCATCACAACCCCCGCATCCTCATTTAAGTCTACATTTTTTCCAACCGTGTTGTTTTCCAAACTTCCAAGTTGCTTACCCAAATACGGGCAGAATAAATAAATAGTTATTTGCTTTGAAAGCCAAAAGTTTATTCAATATTTACTGCATAAACGTATACATCGTCTAAAAAAATGTTAACATATACGTTCGACATTATTTTATCATTCTAGGGAAGGCTTCTCATATTTTGTTAAATATTTCATTACATGGTCTCTTGGCCATTGGCACTTGTTCAGGAACACACATTGTGGACCCACCCCTACTGGGCATTTGTGAAAAAGGTCTTCATAGCTCATCGGATTCCTCCAGTCTAAACAAAGATTTTGATTGCGATTCCCCTCGCTCGTTCCGGAGCACTCACGTCTTTCGCTGACGATCGCTCGACCAAAATCAACTCGCGACGCCGATGCCGCCTCCATGCCTCAACGGCTCCTCTCCTCGGCAACGATCGCACGCGAGCTCCTCGCACGCCCGAGTGTCGACACCAAATGGGCAAACGCGCACAGCATCCCAGCGATGCGTTGCACGCGCTGCGCCACCACCGCCACCACCACCACGAGCGCCGCCACCACCACCACCACCACCACGAGCGCCACCACCACCATCACCACCACCACCACCATCACCACGAGCGCCACCACCACCACCATCACCACGAGCGCCACCACCACCACCACGAGCGCCGCCACCACCACCACCATCACCACGAGCGCCACCACCACCACCATCACCACGAGCGCCACCACCACCACCACGAGCGCCACCACCACCACCACCACCACGAGCGCCACCTACTCTGCTTGAAGCCCAGGTGCGGCAGGCGTTCGATGGGCGTTCCGCGCTCACGCATGAACTTGTAGATGGCGTCCAGGAACGCCTTCTCGCTGTCGCCGTCCTGGCCCGCGCCGCTCTCCGCCGAGCCGTCTCTGTGCCGCGCCGCCGCCGCCGCCACCACCACGTCCACTGGCGAGGCCTTGGCCACGGTCGTGGGCTTGGCGTTAGCGGCGGCCGCGTTCGACTGGGGGTCCTGTGTTTGTTTTGTTACAGGATGAAAAAAAAGTTAAAAGGTTGAGTGGAGGTTAAAGATAAAAGGTACGGTAAGGCCCGCTGAGCTACGTAGCTCTTTTTCAGAATCGACCTGGCCACGTGTGACAACAAAGTGGCTTATCACATGGACATTTGTAGCAGCCAAATACTTGAAACGCACGTTTATAAATGTGCAGGGAAAACTGAACGACCCGGAGAAAACTCCACACGCACACGGGGAGAACATGCAAACAAATATACAGGTATCAAAGCTGGGATCGAACCCACCAACTCCTGTATACTAGCCGAGGAAGTTAACCTTGCCACCGTGGTGTCTAAAATTACAAAACGGCCAAACATAGTTATTTTCAACTGGTGGTGTGTATAAGGCACACGCGTCTTGGTGTGGCGTTAAATCTGAATATGTGCACAATGCTGGCCCATTGCCCAGATGCAGGTATAGCAGCAGTTAGCGTCCCTCCCACTGATCCACCAGGCCACAAAAAATAATTCTACTCTATTTATGGTGTCTATAGACTCACAACAGCGGCTAAAACATGAGAATCATGGTGGAAGTTTGCATGGCCGCATTGTTGCTAATGAGCTGACGGAAGGGACGGATGATTTCTGGTGGTTGCAGCAGGCTGCTGTGCTTGGTGTTCCAAGCCCCCCAGTTACACTCACCACGTGCTGACCCGCCCATAACTGGACATCTGTGGAAAAGAGCTTCATAGCTTATCGGATTCCTCCTCCAGTCTAAATAAAGATTCCAAATCTGATTTGTGGCCTAAATGCAGTAACGTAACGTTTAACCGCAGCTGTAAAACACGAGGGGGGCCTTCGCTGCGCGAGAAGACGCCTCACCTTAACCAGAGGCTCCATGGCAGCTGACGTGGCCTTGTTCTCCAGTGAGCCCTCTCCTCGAGAGGTCGCCTCAGTCCGGCCCTCGGACTGGGCTGAAATTATGGCGGCAGCGGAGGCGGCAGCAACGGTGCTGGAGGTGGAGCCGACGGAGGAGGAAGATGAGGAGGAGGACGAAGAGGAGGATGAGGTGGTGACGGCTTTGATGCACGGCAGCGTGCTGCGAATCCCTCTCCTTCGCGTGCGCCCCAGCGTCAGCCCGGGCTCTGTTTCGGAGCACGGTCGAGATGACAAGAACACGCCGGCGGAAATTAACACCACGCGGCCAAATAATTCTGGACGCTGCCACCAGAATGTTCACCTGTAACCCCTTGAACATCACCATCTCTCCCCTTACCCTCAAATCCTTTCAGTGGTTCAAGAAACAGTTGCAAGAAGATCGGCCCTTCTTGTCTTAAAGATCCTGCACGTCTCCCATTCCATCTCGCTTTGCTCCTTTCACCACGTTCTTTACTCGATTTCCTCAGGAAACCTTTTACTCAACAGGAAGTCGCTTCTTCTCTTCTGCTGCCAGATCCTCCCATCTGTCTGTACTCGTGTCTACCTCCCCCCCTTGAACTCTCTGCCCTGAACCTCCTCCAACAGTTAACGTACACTTGCTTTACTTTCACCCCTCTGCCGCAGACATTTCCCCACGTGCAAAACGTTTCCACTCTGCACAGCAGTGGTGAGCACAATGTGCTGTGATCCCAGGGACCCGAGCTTGATTCTAGGGGCACAGCTAACGTCAGTGGCGAGTAAAATCTCTCCCAACCAGAGCGGTAAATTATGGGCAAACCCCATGACCGACACAGCACAGGTACGAGGCACTCATCCAGAAGTCAACTGATAAAGGGCTTTAAATTATTATTACATCACTTTCTTTACGCCACATTGTGCATACCACCTACCAATTACATTTACATTCATAATAATGACATTCATAATAATCCTGTCCTACTATTCCTCGCCCTGCGCACTGTCACCCACAACGTGATGTCAATCGCTCAGAGTGGTCTTGAGATACAGCCGTACGTAGGCACGTTATGCCTGCGAACAGCACTGTGTGCACACGGGATGGGGAGAAATATCGTTGGCATCGGCCCCCTTCGCCGATGTGGGATGAGGTCCCGTTGAGGGTCATCATCCCTCGCTGATAAACGCAAGGCAGCTGTTTATGAGCCACACTTCGAGGCAGTTTCTCTAAACAGCTGTTACTAATCTTGCGAAAGCTGGCGTGGTGACAATGTGTCCCCATTGTGCCACGGCATGAAGGTAGGGTTAGTGGGGATCACACCAGTGCGCTACGATGGCAAGATGTTAACTACCTCGCCTGGTATACAGGAGGAGGTCGTGGGTTCGATCCCGACCCTGACGCCTGCTGCTGCTGCTGTATATTTAGAGTTTGCGTGTCTCTCTCTCATCATCATCACAGTGGCTAGGAGATGTTAACTACCTCGCCTGGTATACAGGAGGTCGTGTGTTCGATCCCGACCCTGACGCCTGCTGCTGTATATTTGGAGTTTGCTTATTCACCACGTGGTCACGTGGATTTTTCTCCGGGTCCTCTCGGTTTCCCCCTCCACATTTAGAATCGCCATGCGTTTTCGAGTATTTGGCTGCTAGAAATTTCCACGTGATAAGTCACTTCGTTGAGCTATCATTTGTGGCCAGGTCGTTTCTGAAAAAGAGCTATACAGCTCAGTGGGCCTGACCTGGTAAATAAAAAAAATGAGTTGACACCAAGATGGCAACGTGAATTAGACTAAAAGGGTCTGAATTCCTGTGTATAAAGTAGGTCCAGCGCTTTGGAACTTTGTCTAAGATACGGGTGGGGTTTTTTTGTTGTTGGTATGAGCATTTTTGCCACGCAAGAAAACGCGGGTACATTTAACTGGCCACTTGAACAAGTTACGTTTCACATTTTAAACGACACATGCTAACAATCACGTTTGGATATATGCGTGTAGAATGTTTCCATTGTTCCAATGTTGTCCAATGCCATCGTCATAAACAGGAAGTGGGCCACGCATTCCAATGCAGAGCCATCCTAAAGATGAATCACTAAAAACCAGTTACAGTAAAACCTTGGGTTGCGAATAACTTTGCAAGACGAGCAAAAACGAATTATGCTCGCAATCCAAGGTTTTACTGTAATAATGTTCTTATTTGTTTGTTCTTGATTAGATTTCAGTGAATATGGGCTGCACATTAAGTTATTCCTCATTATATTAAACACACATCCAGACGACTGATATTTACTTCGTACATTTAAATTATCACTTCGATATTATAACGCTTGGAATATGTTCCCTAAAAAATAACAAAAAAAACGGTCAGGGTCTCATAAAGCAAAGCTAGGTCCGTGCTCGTCATGTTGGCGACCCTAAGGCAACGGTAGACATTCCACATTTCTTCCATTGGGCAACCACTGTTGATTTACAATTAAGCGATACTGAATCTATATACCCCAGAAGGATGATGATTTGCCGAGTTGACCCCTGACCAGGATGCTAACTTAAAACCTTTCAATCGCACGTTCAGGAGGTTTTGCCACAGTATCACAAGGGCTGGCATTTAGTCTAAGACTTACGAAACGTTTCAAATTATAACGTCTGCGGGCGCATTGCATCGGAACTGCAATTGCTAGACGTGCACTTAGTAAACTAAAGCTACCCGTGTTGAAAATGGGGCTTTTCTCATAATCGCAAATATTACATGAAGTGAGAAAGGCAAATAGTGCTGACAAGGCTGTGCGGGGGGGCCCAGTGGAAACGCGCTCGGTAAGCCGGCACATTTCCTCGTAACCGATGACCGAATACGGAACCGAGTGAAACGCAGCCGCTCTCTGCTCCAGGAAATCGAAATCGCTCTTTATCACAGACCAGAATCTTTTAAGGATAATGCTTTGCTATGAAGAAAGAAAAAAAAATACTTCCCTGTATAACAACAATAAGAGTAATAGACGTTGGTGTTATTTGCGAACGCAATAACGTCGCGAAGGTTTTCATTTTATTCTAAGCTCTCGACTCACGATTGAAAGGTTGAAAGTTCAAATCCTACTCCAGGGTCAACGGAGCTCATCATCCGTGTGGTGGGTAACACGAGTACCACTTTGTGGGACACTGACCATGATCGTCCATCGAAAGGACTGCTCGGTCCCTGCCATAGGAACGTAGAATTTCCACCACTGGCTCAAAACCAGTTGTGGCCATGAGTATGGCCATAATTATTGCAGGGAGAGATCACGATGCTCCTGGAAATCGTTAAAATTTCGTATTAAATACGTTTCATTTAAAATAAAGTACATTTCCCTTAGCCTTTTTAGATTCACATAATTATTAAAGTAAATAATAAACCTCATTGCATGCAATTTTTTTCCCCACAGCACGTTGACTGTAAATTTCACTTAAGGTGGACTGTGACACCGTCATAGCTTTAGGCACGAACACTGCCCAGAACATGTCCCAGCATTGAGAAGCTTTGTCTTATTTATTAACGTGAGTTCACATTTCGAAGCGAGAGGCATCAAATACCGGGAAAGCGAATGCAGACCGCGCCATTGTCTCAACATCCTCCCAATCCTCTCCATGACAGCTGTGATGGACCAAAGCATCACATTTCAAGACCCCCACCATGAACGACAAGGGTTTACAGAAAACCAACAGCTGCTTGTCAAAACCCGGTGTTTACGAGTAGTTGTGAATCAAAACGTCAAAGTGTATCCTTTTACTCAATCGAACACCTCTGTTGGAGGTTCGGAGTCCATGATGAAAATTCTAAATTCCTATCGCAGGGACCCATTTATTAACAGGGCAACCTCTGCTGACACACCACACAAAGTGGCACTGTTTTATTTACCACTGGGGTTACCATTTGCTGAGTGAACCCCGACTGGGATTTAACTCACAGCATTCAGATTGTCAGGCAGGTGCTCTATCTAACCTGTCTATTACATCGTGCGCGGTGAACAGCTTGACACGGAATATTCCCCAAGCGAGCCGGTCGGCGCAACTTGGTTCCGCGCGTAATCGCCGTAAACCATCGGGACCAGCAACAGCATTACAGCTGATGACGTTTTCAGTCTGGTAGAGAACGGTCTCTCTCTCTCAAGGCCAATCGCCTCTTTTCTCCGCAAGACACTTTTTGAGCGGCATTTCATTTTCACCTCCTAAAGCGTGCCACGACACTGTTGAAAGGAGTGGGCGGAGAGGTGTCCCCCGCCTTCAAGTTCAAGCCTCTGGGTGCAGAGGCTTGAACTTGTGGGCGCGTTATTGCCGGATAATCAGACGCGCGGGGCACAAAAGCCAACGTTAACGGAGATTACATTTAACACGTAGGCTTTCGCGACCAGTATTATTCATAATAAAGGTTTTGGGGTGAGATCGCATCATTATAGATGTGTCGCAACCCTCCACCACCCGACACGGCCAATCAGTAAAAAATGTGTCACGTTAACAAAACGCCAATTAGTTACTGCTTCAACCCACCGGTGTGTTTGAAGATTCGAATTTGAGTACAACGTTTCGCTGGTAATTACATCCAGTATCTTCGGGAGATTTGCCAGAATAGCGAAGCCATGTTGAACCCCATCAGGTTTCGAGATCAGAGGTTCTTTGTAAGGCATCTGGCTACCATGAGAGATTCGTTCATGAGGCTATCCACATATACAAGCACAGAGACAATTTCAACCGAGAAGATGGATTCTGGCTTAGCAATCATTGGAAAGATTTAATAAACCATTTCAGGTCTTAATTGATTGTTCACGCTTAGTGGCTTTCAGACAGCATACATTAATTTTTCGTCTCCCCCCTCCTCTTTTCAGAACATAGATGGACTCGTCCTTCTAAATAAACTGACAAATCGCTGCGCGTGGCGCTGACGGTTTTTATAAATAAATAAATACACCGTTTAAAAATAAATAAATTAATGCAAACCGACACACCTGATGACGCCCGTTTGTGTCGTGAGAATTTTGTATTGTTTTATATATATTTTATTATTTTATTGTTTCCCTTCAACGTGACTTTACCGAAAGAGCTAAGAATATGAATTACTGCAGTCACGAAAGCTTTAAATCAAAATACTGTGTATTACTTAATCATACGCTTCCAGGCTGCGCTAATTCTGTAGCTATCAGAGCGGTTAAAATTGTTTGCATTTTTCTCAATTTCGATGGATTCTCTAGTTAACAAACCGGCGGGCTGAATAAGTAACTAATTGGCGT